TCGTTGCGCAGTTTGTTTAGCTCTGCGGAGTTGAGTTCGACCACGCCACCGCGGATAGTGCTTGGCCTGCCGATGGAGTCTCGCTGCGCCCTAACAAGTTTCTCAACCTGTTCAAGGCGTTTCATGCGGACGTCAAGAGAGTGTTCGAGTGTCTGGTAGTCTCGCATAAGATCTTTCTCCAAACTGCGGATGCGCTGGCGGAAGCCGCCGATAATGCCTTCGACATTCTTGACAGCAAGGATGATGTTCTTATTGAAGCCGGAAAGGTTCTTCGAGATGAGCTCCATGGACGGAAGATCACCGTTGATGAGGGCATGACTTCGCGACCACTCGGGGCCACAGAGAGTTGAGAGGCGATTCCAGAGCGCATAGAGCAGGTTGTTGCGTTCCAGGAGCTGCTCGCGATATTGCTTCTCGAGATTGTGAAGTTTCTGGCGATCTTGGCTACGGAGGGTCTCAAGCTCGAGGACCTTGGTCTCGTGCTGTTGGATAGTTCGTGTGACAGACTGATGGCCGCGCTTGGCGCTCTCAAAAGCGACCTGGTCTTGACGGCGAGCTTGCCGCTCGCGCTCGAGCATGTCTGACAGGCGACGGCTTTCCATGCCCGTGCTTTCTAGTAGGGTATCTCGATTGCGGAGGAGCCTATCCTTCTCTGCGAGGTCCTGCTTGGTGTTGTCAAGCTCCTGCATGGTAGCCTCGAGGTCGCGTTGTAGCTTGTGAATATCCTGTACGATTGCGTTAAATATATATTTTGGCGATATGGAGGCGAGGTTGGGTACCTTGAGAAGACTAGCCCTTGTACCATTGAGGTTACCAAGGGCTTCGCGGAGGTTGCTCTCGAGCTCATCAAGCCGTTGCTTCCACTGGGTTGCTTCGACTTCCTTGCCTGAGAGATTTTTACGGAGCTTCCTGTTGTCGTCCTTGAGCTTGCCAAGCTGTCCGTTTAGCTCTGTGACGATCTTCTCCACCTCCTGCTTCTCCTGGCTCTCCAGGATGTCGCGCTGCCGCCTCTCCTCTGTCACACGCTCCTCGAGATCGCGGAAGCGCTCTTTCTCATCCTGAATCGTGATGTGGGCATTGTTGAGCGAAGACTCGAGCTCGCCAATCTTGATCTTGTCACCTTCCTGCTCCTCGCGCAAGAAGTCGATCTCGCCTTGGCATGACTCAAGCTGAATTTCGAGCCTCTCGTTCTTCGACTTCTCGTCCGACAATACTTTGTCTTGCCTGCCCAGCTCTTGATTGGCATCCTCAAGTTCCGACTCGAGGTTCTGGATCTTGCGCAGGCTCGCGTCTCGGTCATCCTCCAGCTGCACTAAGCTCTCGCTTACATTCTTCATCTCCTGCTGGAGAGCGTGGAAGTCCTCGTTCATATTTTCCAGCTCGGTGACGAGGCGGTTGCATTCTTGCTCTTTTTGCTCGATCTCGTTCTCCAGTCGTTCGACGGTGTCCAAAGCTTGCTGCCTTACGTTCTCGCACTCTTGCTCCTTGTCCTCTAAGAGCCCCAGAGCCTCATCCCGCTCGGTAGAAAGTGCTTGCAGGTCTTCCGTTTGGGCTTCGAGCTCACGCTGGAGGTCCTGAACCTTCGCTTCCGCTTGCTCTAGCAGGTCGAGATGGCCGTTAAGCTGGTCGTCGAGCTCCTTGTACTGGAGCTTCGTTTGTGATAGCTCATCTCGCAACGCAGCATATTTGCTCTCGAAGTCTTCGCGTTCGCGATCGCGCTCCGGATCGCTGACCTGGCTGACCTGGCTGACCTGGGTCACGCGGGTGGCGCCACTGGCTCTAGATACGGAACGCATGTGGTTGCGAGAAATGGAGCGTTCTAGAATGCTGTCACCCGCGACGGAGGCAACGTCTCCCCTTCGGATTGTGAGCTTCAACCCTTCGTTTTCTTCTCTTAACCTTAGATTTTCTCGGTTCCGCGACGTCAGCATGGACGCTTGCGCATGGAGGTCTCGCTGCAATCTCTCATTGTCGGTTTGAAGCTGGTCTACAAGAGTGCTGCTAGTGCCGCTGATGGAAATAGTAGGGGGTTGGTCATTGGCGTCAGATCCTGAATTCGACCGCGTGGTGTACGACGTTTGAAGGCGTCGACTGCTGTACACATGCTTAATGTGATTGTTTGTTGTAGAAAGCTGTTGCTGCTGCTGCTGTGCTTGCTGATTGAGGTCCTTCATGCGTTGTACTTCCTCACGAAGCTGCTCGCGTTCGGCTTCTGCTTGTTCACACCGAGCCTCTGCCTGCTCACGCCTCGCTCGCTCATCTTCGAAGTCTTCTTTCCATATGCCGATAGCCTCGTTGACGCCTGCAGAATCATCCGAAGAGCCCTTGTCGCGCACCGTCTTGATATAGTCCGCCATCCGCCTATTGTCTGCCTCTTTCTGCATCGCCTCTTGCTTCCATTGCTCGATGATGGTCTCGGTCGACTCTAGGCGCTCCCTGAGGAACTCGATCTCCTCTTCTAACTCGGCTTCTTTTGATGAACGATCGCTCCTCTCATCTTCAGAGCCGCTTGCTGTGTCTTTGGCCTCCGTCTGCCCCTCTTCTTGAGCCTTGAGTCTCCTTTCCAGATCACGAACCTTTTTGCGCAAAGTGTTGTTCTCTTTCTTCTCATTTGCGAGATCGGTCTGGAGCTGCACATTCTTCTGGATCATCTCCTTGACACCCTCGTCGGATCGATTTTGGAGTGCCTGATCAAGGAAGTGTATCTTGAGCTTGAGATCGAAGTTCTCCTTGCTCAGTTTGTCGATCTTGCTGTTCTGCTCTTTCAGGGTCAGATTGTGCTTGTTGCGAGTGAACGGAGTCGCCATGTGTCGTTTGTCCGGTGACCGAGAGTGCTTTGCGCGGAATTCTCGTGCGATGGTATCAGGTACCTGGATACCTTGTACGTGTCTGGAAATGACAGTGTCAGTAGGTGCGAGAAGCTTGACGCTCGGTGCTCGAGGCGTTTCGGGAGGAGTCGTAGAACTGGGTACTTCCTCCTCTAATCGTCCTAAGTTATTGTCCGGCTGAAGATATCCGGATAATGAGTTTGCACTGATGCTCCGTGTCTTGTCCCACGAGGGGTTGGAGTCACTGTACCCTGAAGCCGAAGATGCGATGCTCCCTAGGCTTGGTAGTCTCGACAAGCCAACACTGTTCACGCTCTGCCCACTGGAGCGAGGTGCTGCGCCTCCGCTTTGCAAAGCGTAATCTGCGCCTAAGCTCGCTGTGCTCGCGCCGTCTCCAGAGAATTCCGACCGATTGGTGAGGGAAGAAAGGGACGACCGCTGGCTGGAATAGCGGTGCTGCAGGAAGCTTGGTCGCTTTCCAGCACGTTGGGCGGTTGTGGGAAGAGAAGGTACGGGTATGGTGATGTTTTCCATGCTCAGCTCATGGTCTTCGGTGAACGAGGAATCCCCCTCTAATTGGGTGAAGTCGGGAGCTTTCACCGTCGAAGCGCTTGATGTTGGCCGCTGAGCATGATCGCCCTCTTTCGGCTCCGCGCCTGCAGTTGCTTGGGCTCCGCCAGTCTCCTTTTGCACCGAGTCTTCCACGGTTTTAGTCTCAGGGACAGTTCGTGGAAGATTCCGTCGGGCCGCTTCCGCCGAGGGAGAGGATGGCATAGCGTCGGAGGTCGATGTGCCAGCATCTGTTGAGTCATCTGTCTCGACATCGATTCGCCGTGCTGCGGGGGTCTTATAGGCATCTGCAGGTGTTGGAGGTTCGTCCGTCAGTATCGAAGAATCGCCTCCCAGAGCGTCCTCTCCATGCTCTATCCTCTCTGCATCTTTCTTATCCTCTGCTATGCGGGACGTTGGTCGCGAATGCCCTGGGGAGCCTCCAAACAAATAAGTATCGTCTGCGCCCGGTCGCCCTTGAGCCTCCACCTGCACCGATGCCTCGGGCAGGAAGCTCGACTCAATGTCCATCAACTGGCGCTTCATCTCGCGGTCCATCAATGCGCTCTCCTCGCCTTGCATGTGGCTGTCACCGAAGTCGTTTGCCTGGAGGAAACTGTCGTCTTCGTCGTTTGGCAGCGGAGGCAGCTCGGAATCCGGCATATCGAACGATCGCACATCTTCGGATTCTGATATGTCGTGCGCCATGTCCTTCTCATGTGCGGGCGCCGGCGCGGGGGAGGATGGCGTGGGTTCGGGGGGTTGTGTTTGTGGTGCCTCAGCAGTCGAGGAAGGTGCGTCGGTCGAGTGCGCCATGGGCGCGGACGGGCGCGCAGCGTGTTCGGCAGTCGCGTGTGTGGATGGTGCTCAGAGACCCGCTCATCAACATATTTCGAAGCCTGTGTGTGCGATGTATGAGAGGGAACAGCTGTGAGCGGTGCTGAACATCCCTCGCGCCAGCAAAACACGCCTTCCTGACAGGGGTGCCGCGTGTTTATGGTGGTCCGTGCGTGGATCGCTATGGCGTCAGTGAGATGGCTACTCTCCCGACGATTCACTCCAGCGGTCGATCTCACCAACTGTCTTTTACATGGCACATAGAGTCTTGATTTTCTTTTTTTCCATCTTGTCGCGATAGCCTCGCGGCGCAGACACGACTGCGTAAAACTCCTGTCACTCAGCAAAAGGAAAATGGGACCCAAAACGCTTATCCGAAACCTTATCCAAAGGCTATTCCACAACGGTTCCGAGGATTACCAAGTCCCCTATACTTTGCATACCCTGCTATACGACGTACTGAATCGGCACCACGGGAACATGACTCGTCTACCTGGGTAGTCCTGGAGAACAGCATTAGGACGAGAACGGATAAACCTTGACCCATGTTGACATCCCTTGCTGTACCTCTCATACATATGCTCGCTGCGAGACACTCACTGAAAGCTGTCCCGGCCATATGTCTATACACAACGCACTGCCAGCAGGCTGTCATGGTTCCCAGCAGCTCGAATTGGACCTCTCATCCCCAGCTTCGGCCTCCTGGCGCAGCTCCAAGCAGACACCATCTTATCCCGTCCATATTCACGCGTCGAAGGCCAATGAATATGTATTTTACGACTGCTCTTAAGCCGATTCCTTTCGCCTTTTCTTTTCTTTCCTCGCCTTCTTCTGTTCCCTCGCCTTCTTCTGTTCCCTCGCCTTGATCTCCTCGGGTGTTCGGTGCTTCTTGTGCTTCTTCGTCGGCGATTCCACCCTCTCGTCTCCATTCGTATGTCGATGTTTCCGCTTCTCTGGCTTCGACGGTATATGCAACCCGTTTGGTATTGCCAGTCCAGCAGATCTGGCAGCAGGTGCTTCATCTTCGCTGTCCGACGATCCCAGCGTTATCGGTTTCTGATTACCGGAGCCGGAGGGGAAGTAACGCATTTTAAGGCCTCTCACCTGAGACCGCGGTGCGCGAATGGTGGATCTGGTTATCGATGCTGCGGCTTCGGAACCCGTGCTCTGGTCTGCTTGCTTCGAGCTGAGTTTCGGAAGCTTTACTACTTGTTTCAGATGAAGAGTCTGTGATATCCGCCTGGGTACTGCGATGCCGTTAGTGATCCGTAGGGACTGACAGGCTGTTGAACCAACCGGCTTTATATCCACTCTGACAGGGAATCAGAATCTCACGGGCGCCGCCTTCACTCCTTTCCGCAGCTGAGAACCCATAGTCTGCGCCCTTCTGGCTTAGGATAGCTCCGCTATTAAGATCCTTATCCATGGCTAGTTCTTTCAAATCTCTGAGCGATATGTCTGCAGGAGCCGTGATATGCCACAGTTGCTTTCCCGTCAGATTCTGGAACAACCCGACAGGTCGCGACGAGGCATTCTGGTTCGTGGGGACGGCATTGAAGCCTTTCGGGGGCACGTATGGCCGCGACGGTCGGAACTCAACTGTGTGCGATTGTGGTTGTGCTGGTGCCGGTGGCCTGTACCAGTAATCAAAATCTATAGTGCGTAGCTGAAAAATTCATGAGGGCGTACCTTTCGATAGCTTTCCGTACTGGTGGAGGAGAAGGCTCCCCTTCCGACTCCTCGCTTAAGCTCTCGGAGCTGCTTGCGCTTTCGCTCTCACTACCCTGAGCCTTCTCTTTCTCTTGCCGCTGCGCAACCCTTATAGCGGTACCGCTCTCGTCGTCGCTCTCTTCTGAGCTACTAGAAGACTCCGCGCCTTGTTCCTCGGTTACTACTTTCTTCGGAGGGGCCTTCTTCGGAAGAGGCCTTGGTTTCGCCGCTGGTTTCGTCGCTTCATTTTGTTTCTTCGCTGTTGTCGGCTTCGGCACCGGCGCCGACTTTGCTACACCATTTGTCTTCGGTCTATGCACTCCTATAGTCACAGGCGGTTTTTGCTGTGTCGTAGTTGGCTGCGGTGGAGTCTCATCGGAAGAATCGTCGCTGTCATCCACGAATTCCTTACTCAATGGCCCTCTGGAGGAAGGTGTGCTCCCCTTTGGCTTGGAGCCAGGGAGAGGTATCGGCGTTGTCTTGGTTTTGCTCATCGTGTGCGTTGCGCCATCGCTCTCAGTAGAGGAACTTCGAAGCTCGTCGCGAACTTTTCTGGTGGAGCAGAAGTTCTGCCGCGGGTCCGCTTACCGCCTAAACTACGCTAATCTTTTTAGGGCACGCTAAGAAAATAGTGAACGTCAAATCGCGCTCGAATGGCTCCAGCACGCCAACACCAAAGTTTTAGGGTTCAAGATGCCTGGCAAGAGGAAGAGGGGCCAGGAGACGCCCGCTACAGCCCCAATTCAAGGTACATCCGGCTCTTTGCGGAGCGATTTCTCGACAATGCACTAACTCACGTGTGTAGCACCATCCAGTTTCAACGGCGGTCCAATCAGCGCAATTGCCGCAGCGAGATTAAAAGCTGCAGTACCTGTCACAGCCATCGACGGCGCAAACGAAACGCCATCCAGCCCACTGGCAGAGTCCACAGACTCCGAATCCGGAGAGTTGGAACCTGAAGATAGCACTCCGATTGCTCATCAGAACTTCAAGCTCTGCACCTGGCGCGATGCTGGAAGCAATGTGTTGTCTGAGTCTGACGATGAGCTCACGATCGTTCTGGACAAGCATTCGACAATTTCTTTTATTGGATGCTACGACTTCAAAGTCCTCAAGGGAGCCGTCAACGTCAATGGCGCGAACCTTGGAGCGGGGCCCCGTCAAGGCACATCAGCAAGAAGCCGTAGAGTCTTCGTACCTTCGACACATCCCGTCACCAAAGTTCGAGGACTCGATCGGGAAAATCATATCCAGTTTCTTAGCTGTAAAGAACCAACACCGCTTGCTGCTATCAGCCCTCTCTTTGCTAATCTTTGGAACGGGAATCCAAACAAAGGAACTAGGAGGAGCTTTGCTTTGGTGAGTCATTTTGATCTGCACTATATGCGGATTCAAGGGAGTCTAAACAGTCGTTTTGTTTCAAGTTGGAATGATATATCGCACATGCCCCATATTGTTCCCTCCACCAGACCATCCTACTGTCCACAATATTCAGCCGCAGCTGCATCCATGAATAATTCATCGACCAAATACTGATTATTCTGATAGATCACGGAATCGGACGCCGATCCCCTCAAGCGCCCTGTCGATCCTGAGAATGCACCCGAGGACTGGATACGCGCCGTAGAAGACTGTGCTGCCACGCCATCAGTCACGCTCATCACTGGGCCACCATTATCCGGAAAATCCACGTTCGCAAAGAGACTGCTTAACCGCTATCTCACCGGCCTCGGCAAGACAGCACGAGCCTTACTTGCTGTCTGCTACCTAGATCTTGATCCAAGCAAACCGGAGTACACTCCTCATGGCCAGGCCTCACTCGCTCTCGTACGGGAACCAAACTTCGGATCTTCCTTCACGCATCCCTCGCCTATTCCAGGAGCTGAAGGCACAAATGAAACCATCTCCGCGCATCCCGTTCCAGTTCGCGGCCTCGTGAACTACGAAGACTACTTCATGTCCTGCATTGAGGACCTCTTCCGCACATACCAAAGCCTCCAGACACCTGATCCTATCCCGCTAATCATCAACACGCCCCCCTCACTCTACACCACGCACTTCCCCCTCCTAACCAACCTCCTCTCCCTCCTCAAACCATGCCACCTCATCCACCTCGGCAACACAGCCGCCATCGACCAACCCACCGCCTTAAAACTCGACACCCTCCAAACCACCATCTCCAAACTGGGCACCACACTCCACGAACTCACCGCCCAGGGGCCCCCCACCCAACCATCTCTCACCGACGCTAACCTCCGCGCCATGCACATGCAATCCTACTTCCACCTCGCCAGCCTCAAGCAGCCCCCACCCTCCGCCCACGGTCCTCCGCAGCTAACATGGACCCCGCGCCCCCTCTCCACCCTAACGCCCTGGGAATTCCACTACGAAGAAACACCCACCCACACCCAAGACCTACTCGGCTTCCTCCTGCTCGCCGAGCCCATCGCCCCCTCGCACCTCCTCACCGCGCTAAACGGCTCCATCGTCCACATCCTCGAGACCACCGACCCGGACATCAGCCGGTCGCGGGGCCCCGCGCTCCCGCGCACGGGAAAATACCGACTCCCGTACTTCGCGCCGAGCAAGGACACGCGCACGATGCAGCCGCTCGACCCGCGCACGTCGCGCCTCGTGTGCACGGCGCTGATCCGCGGGTTTGAGCCGCAGGAGCGCATCGTGCAGGTTCTGGTGCCGAGGACGCACGACGGGCTGGTGCGCACGCTGAGGCCGGAGAACACGGTGTTCGTGGCGGGGTGCTGCGATATGCCTGAGTGGGCGTATGTGGAGGACGCGTATGCGCAGCTCAGCGATACAGCGGCACTGCGGAGAACGCAAGGTGGTGGGCGGTTCATAGGAGATGATAGTGCGATGATGATGGAGGGGATGGAGACGCCGATGCCGCCTTGGGTCGAGAGGGAGAGTGTTGTGCAGGGTATGGGGTATTTGAACGCTGTGCGGCGGGTGCGGAAGTTCCATCAGTGAGAGCAAGGAATGAAACGTTCTGCGGGATCGAGCGCTTCTGGATAGACAGATTCAAATCGTTATAATATAATATAGTATAGTATACTCTCGTCTTCGTTATCGTTATCGTATCGTGACAAAAGAGCAGCCGGGAAACTGGAGAAACGGCCTGTAGTAGGCGGCCACGGCTGTAGAAGAACATGGACAAGGAGAAGAGAAAGAGGGATACTGAAACAGTACTCGTGTGAACACCGTCCGTCCATCAGGGCGCCATGCACGCCCCGGACCGCCGGGGCAGCAGATTGGATACCCAGAGTGTCCGTCTAATCCAACACCCACCAGCACCCGTTCCGTCCTGTCATCCGTGTGAAAATACACAAGGAAAATTCGTAAGTCGTGGCGTCGTAAATCCCCGTCATGTACTCTAAAAGCCCCACATGAAAAGAGATAGAAAAGAGATGCCCGTCCAGGCCACCATTACCATGCTCTCATATAGCCTCCCCAATCCCAAACCCCGAACCAGGGCCAGCTCCACCATCCGGCGTAGTCCGATCGATACCAAACGGACTCGCCAACGGCCTCGGCGCACTAATACTATCCTTCTTTGCCCTCTCCTTGCCTTTCCCCTTCATGAGCCCGCCCATAGCATTCCTAATGCTGCTCGCGCTCACATTCCTTGAGTGGCTGGGACTATTAGATCCAGAGCCCGTGGCGCGGGAGCGCGAGGCGGCTGTGGAAGCTGCGAAGGGAGCGGGAGCTTGGTTTTCGGGTTTGGAAGGGGTGAAGGGGTTAGGGTTGGTGTAGGTGGCAGAGGAGATGGAGGCGTTGCGGCTGGATGTTGCGGAGGCCCCTTTCGAGGACGAAGGGCGGTTGGGAAGGGTAGAAGGGAAGAAGGGGTTCCTCGAAGTATCGGTTGGCGAGATAGGCGATGTGAGGGGCGTAGAGGTTGCCATTGTGCCACCTACACCGGTTCGCAGCGTTGGCGAAAAGACTTTGACTTTCCCAGTGATCGAGCACGCGGTGGGCGGGACGGTCGTTGTCGGTGTTATGAGCGCGGGGTTGTGCGGCGAGCCCATGGCGATGACGAAGGGGATGTTGGAGCTGGATGCCGTGCTGGGTCTCCGTGAGGGTGAGGGAGGCTGCACCTTTGTGGAGGTCGCCGAGTCTTCGCGTGAGCGGAGAGATAGTGGGGCAGGCATGGCAGAGTTGGCAGTTGAGCTGCTGGAGCGGATAGTCCTATTTGGAGAGCAGGGAACCGGGATGCTGGAACCTAATGACTTCGCGGGTGCGTCCTCCTGTCGCTGCTCTGTGGGTTTCGCTCGGTCTGGAGAATTCCGCATCGCTTCTGCCATGACGTCCACACGAGGAGGGGTGCGTAGGCCCGACGCTCCTGCGCGGTCTGCAGCGATTGGCGATTCGAAAAGGCCAAATCGCGGGCGAGGTGGTCGCTCAGGCGTTGCCTTCCCCTTATGCGGCTCTGGTACGGAAGATGACCGCCCTCGAGCTTCTACCATCTTCTTCTCGTCCGCTCCAGCCGTCCGTTCTTCATTGTCCGCTGCGGACCATTCAGGCGTCCTTGGGCTAGCATATAGCTGAATAATAGAGTCGCTCATGCTGCGCTGGGTATCGTGCCTCTTCGGCGATGCTGGCGTGCTCAATGGGAAGTTGGTGGCCATATCGCCGAATCTCTCCTGATCAGGCGAAGGAGGCTATGGGAAACGTTAGACGGCTGTCAATTTGATCAGGGTCAGTATAATCTCTTACAGTAGGCTTTCGGCGCTCTGGCGATAGCCTCGCGACAGACCTAGGGGAGATGCCAGGGTCGATGTTGTCGGCTTCGTTGGCTGGGTTGGCGTCGCCTTTGCGAGGTGGAGTCCGAGGTGTCATAGACGTCTTCAGATTGAGTTGCGCGGGGACTCGCTTGTTGGATGGCTTCACTGTATCTGCTGGCGTGGGGCCTGGCGTGAAAACACTAACCGGAGGCGTTATTGGTCGGTTGAAAGGAATTATGGCAGAGACAGGGCCTGTTGACACCGGAGACGGAGTGGCTGAAATCCCCAGACCAGGCGCTATTGAAGAGAATTTCGCACGGAGAGGCGTATCGCCGGACCGGGCAATGGAGGGTGTGGGTGATTCAAAGTCGCTCGTTCTGCTGCCGTTGCCCATCCTAGCCGCAAAGCTCTTCAGCTTCTTGATGTCGGACTTATAGCCCCTGATGTCCAACTTGTAGTATATGATCTCGCGGACATAGAAATCAATCTCTTTTCGCAGGTCTTCTACCACCGATTCGAGGTCTCCGATGGGCTTCTTCCCTTCGCTCTTTGATTTCTCCCTCTCCTTCTTCAGACGGTTCTGGAGTCGCTCTATCCAACGCTCAATATCCTCTTTCGAGGCGAGCGATGTTAGATCGGGGAGCGGGTCGTCATCAATGTCAGCGAGAAGCGTTATGGTAGCATGCCGCTTGATCTCGGCTTGGAGAAGCAGTTGGTGGTGCTCCAGCTGCCTCTCGACCATACGTAACGCCCTGTCCTTCTCTCCGATGGTGGCCTCGCGTTCGATAATGGCAGTCCGCAACTGCTCAATGTGAACGTCGCTCTGCCTCGTCTTCTTCAGCAGCTGGGCTTGAATGTCTGACTGAAGGCTCAATTCTCGATGGTCGCGCTCCAACTGTCCGTAGTTCTGTCGCATGCGCTCATTCTCCGCTTCGAGCTCGGCGGTACGCTCATCCTTTTGTCGGATCTGCTCCTGTAGGCGCTCAATGTGTGAGATGAAAGCCGCAAGCGTTGTGGGCTCTTGGGACTCGTTCTGCTGGCTGATTGGAGATTCATTGGCGAAGACGGTGCTCATGCTTGTGCGCGTGCTCTGTCGATTCTCAGCTGGCGCTAGAGGAACCTGTAGCTTGGGCGGCTTGGGATCGAACGGCGTCCTCTGCGACTGGATATTGAACAGCTGCTCCTCTGCATCTATCTTCTCAACATTAGCGATCTCCAGCCGATGCTCGAGGTGGTCGATCGTGTTCTGCAAAGCCAAGGTGTTCTTCTCCAGCTGCTCGACTTTGCTTGCCTTTTCCTGCCACTCAACGCAAGTTTGCTCCACCTTCTCCAGCGTCTGCCTCATCTCCTTCTCTCTCTTCATCGAGTCATTGAGCTTTGCCATGAGCGACTCGATCTGCTTCTGCAGGGCCACAGTGTTCTGCTTGTGCTGGTTGAGCTCGCGGATAACATCGCGATTGCCAGTCTCTGGCCGCCGAGCCACACTCAGCTTGCGCTTGAGGTTCTCCATCTCGGGGCTGTCCCGTGACTGGCGCCGCGCGATTTGCTGTTCAACGGCGGACTGGAAGGACCGGATGGAATTGGCGGAGGTGCTGCCTGCAGTGGTCCCGGGACTCTCGCGATTCGGCGACTGTGGCTCCGTAGTGTCAAGCAAGAACAGGAGGTGGTTGCTCGAGGCTAACAAATAATATTAGCTTTTTTTTCGAGGCCGCGGAGGTGGATTGTGTGTGCGCTGTGGCAAGTGATAGGCCGCGTAACGGATACGGAAGGAGGTGAAGGCGCTAGTGAATAGAGGAGGTAGGACCTACCGTGGTGAAGGGTGCGTTGCGCCTGCTGGTCCTCGAGGGCTCTGGTGTAGTTCTTCAGCGACGCGACTTCGGCCGAATGTGCGTCAGCGAGGCTCGCGACGTGCGCTTCGTGCGATACTCTCAAGCTGGCAAACTGTGCCTGCAACGTCGAGATGGTCTGGTCCTGCGCTGTGATTGTCGCCTTCAGTTCGTCGACTTGCCTGCTCCGTGTGGTTGCAGATATCGGTGTCGGCGTTCCAGGTGTGTCAAGCTGTCAAAGTTCAGCATTCATTCACTACTGTGTCTTCCATAGGAAAGGGGCGGTAAAGTGTCCATCTCGGCAAGCAGCAAGCATGGTTTTGTCCACAGAGTATTAGAATCTCAAGCGGCGAAGAGAACGCGCTACACGCGTCTTCCGCTCCTCGGAGACACAAGCTTTTAATCTCGCACAAGAACGGGAACCGACCCGCTTCTGCGTAACCCTACCATATCCATTTGGGTAGTCTCCCGTGCGGTGGACAGAGCGACAGTAGCGGGATCGTGGAACAGCAGCAAACGATCCGAAACCGTTTCGTTATGCACACAAGGGCTGCAACCACTCATCGAACGCAAGTCAACTACGGTATAAACAAATTGTACTTACTTCATCTCGGCGACTGCTTGAACTTTCTCCACCACTCCTCTTCCAGGGCTTCCCTTCTACAATCAGCGGCGCCGGCTGCAGCAGCTTCTCCGCGCCTACGCGGGCCTTGGTCGATTCAGCGCTGCTTGTGGGACCCCCATTTGTCGACGCAGAGCACGTGGTGAGTTTGCTGTCCGTGGATGACGGCGAAGTGATGAGGCTGGGCCGTGACTTGGAGCGCCTTTGAGTTTGCAGGTTGGCTTCGCTCAAGCTTTTCTTATGCAGCGACACTTTCGATGGACTTGGCTTAGCAGTAGCATTCGAGCTAAGAGAGTTCCCGCTGCGGACCGACCTCATTGTGCTTCGGGTTGCGGAACCCGCAACGGGTTGGGAAGAGGGGAAACCCTGATTCTCGAGCAGAATGGATCCGGGGAGCTCAGCCGGGAGATCTGGTGTCGACGGGAGAGACACGGAACGTGGTCGACTGGGAAGAGGCTTATGTATGGAAGCAGACGATCTGGGGCATACTGTGGCACTTAGTGCTGGCGAGCGCAGCATGTCATTGACAACGGCCAGCAGATTGGATGCCGAGTGGACCAGGGCGGCATTGTGGTGGGCAGACGCGGGAGTTAGACAGCTGAGGTGATTTTTGTTGTAGTCCGGGGGGATTATTGTGAGGTTGGGAGGGCGTCGTCGTCCACTGCTTGGGGAACTCTATCGAATGGTCAGCGAATGATAGAGCACCACACCGCAGATGCATGCTGCAGCTCCCCTGCACATGCTTTAGACAACGCAGGTCAGAGGCTTGGTGCTGCACAACCACGTCGCCGCACCGCGCCCAATTAATCGCTTGACAACGCATTATCTATCCCCCGGGAGCGTCGTATCGTACCTTCGCCTCGATGGCTGAAAGCGTCTCTCTGCCTGCATCGCCCACGCTCGTGTCGATTGGAAGCAGGCCGCCCGTGCGATGGTACGGCTCAGAGGTAGAGTGACGTCCTTTGGACCAGGAGAAGAACTTGGCCTTGGAAGTCATTGCAGCGCGCGACGATGCCAGCGCACGGGATCAGGCTGCGCTGGGAATAGGAGGAGACATGAAGGCGAGACGGGACGGAAGCGCAGCACAGAACGAGTGACGAGAGTGAGAGAAGCGCAATTGAAGAGGAGTCAAGAGAGATGGGAGCGACGCGAAGAAAAGTCATCACGGACTCTGCGGCCCTCACTGCGGCCATGGAGCTGCTATCTGGCGTCTATTGTATAGAAGTGGGAGATCGCCTAAGGTCTCGGACTGCGATGGTGCACTAGGGCCGCCCTCAGCGTGGAGGCTGACTGGGGCCAGGCGCCCAGCGCTTCATATAGTTGAACCGAGTGGGTGAGACGCAAAGATAGATCTCTCTCTGAAACAAGAGATACAGACGCTTGAAACAGGGACGGAAAGCCCAGGGGCCGTGAACGACTTGGGGGAGAGATGCAAGCGCCGTTTGGCCCGGCCTGTGCGGCGCAGACAAGCGAAGCTCGGCCCGCCCCAGATTTCGTCAAGCTTGCACCACCGAAGCCGTTGCCAGCCCACCCTGCGCCGCAGTCCGCTGTGAACGGCGTGCGTCTTCACACACAGGCCCTGGCCTCGGCAATGCTATAGCCTGTGCATCCACTACAGCTTCTCGAAGCAGCAGACGTGTGCTACCCCCGGCACAACCTGCGTTTCTCTGACCACCTCCGCGCTCAGCTGCCGCTCTCCAGCAGCCATGGCAGCTGAAGGCCGGTCGCCGCCCCCAGCTCGAAGCGCCCGCCGTCGGTCTTTCTCAGAAAATGGTCGCGCTGTGGAGGCCTCCACAGACTCGAGGAAGGGCGACCGCAGTACCAGGGAGCTGTCACCCTGGAGCGCGAGGCGGGCGTTGACAGAACAGTTGCAGGGCAGAGGGTCTGAACCAAGGCAGAGTCGGGAACGGGATCGGTCATGGAGCGTAAGGCAAACGGTGGAGATGAAAGATACTGGGAACGCTCGTCCACCTTCACGCGGAGGGAAGAGGGGCAAGAGCAGGTCACCGCCGCCGAGGAAGCCTAGAGATCGCTCTAGAGAAAAGGCAAGAGAGCGTTCGAGAGACCGCAAGTCTAAGGATGCTTCAGAGGCAGGTTCCGCGGTTCGCGGCCGAGACGCCTCACCCGAACCATACCGCAAACCACGAGAATCGTCGAGGGAGAGGAAGCGCGAGAAGTCAAAAGATAGGGATCGCTCAAGGGATAACTATCGAGACCGCTCGAGGGACAGGCGGCGTGACAGGACCGGCGAGAGGAAGCGGGATAGATCAAAAGAGAGGAGACGAGACCGCTCAAAAAACCGACGCGATCGCTCAAGGGACAGAGACAAGGAAAAGAAACGAGATCGCTCGAGAGACAGAAACGGGGACAAGAAGCGAGACCGCTCGCGAGATAGACGGCGCGACCGCTCTCGCTCCAAACCCCGACGCTCACGCTCTCCCATACCCTACCGCTCCCGCAAACACCGCTCCCCGTCGACATCCGCCTCGCCGCCCCCGAAGCGCCGGAAACGCACCCGCTCACACTCGCGGTCACGCTCCCGACCCCCTCGCGACCGAGACCGCAAACCGCTCCCCTCGCAAGAAGTATCCTTCCGCGGCCTCGACGACAGCGCCCGACCCCCCAGCAAATATGGCGGCGCTCCCACCACGCTCGAAAAGCCCAACTTCAAGCCCACGGGGCTCCTCGCCAAAGCCGCCAACAAAGTCGAAGGCACAAAAATCAGCCTGAAATACCATGAGCCACCCGAAGCCCGCAAGCCTCCCTCATCAGCGCAATGGCGCATGTTCGTCTTCAAGGGCGACGACGTCGTCGACACAATCGAGCTATATACGCGCAGTTGTTGGCTCTTCGGCAGAAGCCGCGAGGTCGCAGACTACGTGCTCGAGCATCCGAGCAGCAGCGGGCAGCACGCAGTCATACAATTCCGATACATCCAGAAGACGGTGGAGGACGAGTTCGGCGTGAAGCAGCACAGGGGCAAGGTCAAGCCGTACATTATCGACCTTGAGTCGAGCAACGGCACTGAACTCAACGGGGAGCGCATCGAAACGACCCGCTACTTTGAGCTGCGCGATAAGGACATCCTGAAGTTTGCGGGCAGCGAGAGGGAATACGTGGTTATGCTGCCGCCGCCTGAGAGTCACTTAGGTATTTAAAGGAGGACTTTGATTAGGTTAGCTGAAGCCCCAGCGAAGTCATCCGAGGTACCGAGGAAATGCATGCGGTTATGCTGCCGCTGCCTGAGAGACAGTTGGCTATTAGTCGGCTGGAGGCCTTTCGAGATAGGAAATGCATGTACGTCTGAGGTTGGATTAGTCGTATGTGACATGACTGGAGCACGGCGTGGTGCCGCATATGCAGGTTTAGCAAATACGTACATAGGAGGGCTGTGCAACTTAGTTAGAATAGTAAAGCAAGATCGCATCAGCAAGCCACAAAGGGAACCTGATCAAAGATTCTACTGTACAAGAGAAAACTATAAAAAATTAGGCATAGTGCGCCATCACAAGAGTCTTACATCAGATCCAACCACCGCACTACTAGTACTTTAAAAATAGTAAAGTCTTCTAATACTATATCTAAAAAGTTTAGCTTTGGTTATTTTTTTTATTCTGAGTAGCTATTTTTTTTACAAACTTTCTAGAGACTTCAAGTTGGCGAGCCCAAGCTCCACTTCTAATAATTCACCAGAGGTTCATTGAACGTTTGGTTTCGTCTCCATCACCGAGCTGCCGTTGACGGCCACGAAATTCGTCTCCATACGCATGTTGTCAGGAACTGGCTCCGTAATCAGTACTGAGGAGCTCTCTGCCCTTATCTATACTGCAGCGTTGCGTCGTGCTATTGGGTTTCGTCCTTCCCACGACGACGACGTCGCCATCTACCAATCTAATGCCTCCCAGGATCGACCCATAAAACGGGAGTCTGTGCCAGATGCACATTGGTATCTGCCAGGTTTTTGACCACTTTACCAAAGAGATTATTAGCCTTTTCAAGCTACACGGCGAGAGCGGCGTGTGGGCCCTTTCAATCACGGCGAAACCAAAGCAGGATTGTGATGGCTAGAGAGTAAGTGATGGAAGATCGTTTTCTGAGGTCTTGACGGTGCCATTCCCCTGGGAATGATACGAGCTGTTCCCTAGCTGGGTTCTGATAAAGACAGAGAGCTCGATGTACTTTCCTTCGGTACTTTCTAAATTCTGCATGCCCCCTACCCATGGGAGTCTCACCGAGATCGTGAATAAGCTCCTCTCGTTATGATTACGCGCCGTGCGCGAGTGTCTGCGTTGCTAAACCGCCGTCTGTGCCGCCTGCGCTGAAAGGCTCTCATGCTCTAATTCCAAAAACACATCGACGTTACCGAGCAACCCGTACTCTCGTCCAAGCGGCATGATAGGATGGTTTGTTGCGCGAGGCTCGTCACACTTCTACAATTTCCACTAGTATCTCAATCAGTTTGCTACAGCTGATGCCATCAGGGCTGCTAGCCCACAACCTCAAGCTGGCACCTGTCCTCAACTTGGGCTTCAGGTGCTCCAATGGCTAATCCATTGGCGTCAAACGATAGCTCCAAAAACAGCGTGATAATGGTAAGCGCCAATAGGAAGTGCCGTGACTTGGGTCTATTGGACATCCGCAACTCACCACACTGTAATCTGCAAGCAGGCCTGATGATACGCCAGGGGTAGTGGCCGTAACATCTGCAACTCTGGCTCGACCCTGGCTACCGCAAACATCCCTCGCATGATTGCTCATGTCGCTTGATTGCTCGCGTCGCATGGCTGCCGACGTTACAGCATGCATGTTGGACCTCGAGGCTCTTTGGCAAACATGTCAACTTTAATCTGCAATTACACTTCTTAAATTCTATCCCTGAGGGGCAGATCTCCTACAACGAAGCACGGATCTGTAAACAAATCCTACGGTGAGGAACTGACCAAGTGCTAGTCACGTGAACTGAGTAAAGTGACCTGACAGTCGCATGACTGATATCAGCGTTTCTACTCCGACTTCTTTCGTCCCAGTCTTGGACGAATACTAGCGATCCCTTAACGCAGCGATTACGTCCCGGGAGAGCTGCTACAGCGAGTAGGGCTTCAATCCCATCGTGTTTGAAACAAGAATCCTCGCAACCTCGAAGCGCATATGGTCAAGGGACACGGACTCGGTCGCAATATCCTACAAACTGCCAGTAAAACCAGAATCACGGACACAACCTCAGCAAGAAGCGGTTCCAAATGACAATAGAGCGACTATGTTTCTCGATCTCAAACTACACTATGGCTGGAAAACATCCCAGTTGCAACAAACGTTCGTTGCGCTTGCAACTTGGAGGAGAGGGAGGCCATTTTGAAGGCGTGTTTGCCTTGCTCCATGCGCGTGCCTTTTGAGAAGCAATTACTCTACACATGTGACAAGAAGTGTGATCATGGCCATGGAAAACGACAACTAGAAGCGCCTCATAAAGTCTATTTAAACGACTAAATCAGTCGTGCAATTCTTAATCAGCATCCTTCTCCTCGCATTTCGTCACTTGTTATCTCTTCAACTATTGACAACCATGGCAAACAACGCCCTCAACGTAACTTTCAGCGACCATGCCCTCACTACTCCAGAGTCCCAGCGAGCCCGTGTCGAGGACTTGCTCTACAAATCCATGGATCGCATCGGTGCCCGCGGAACGATCAAGATCCTCCAGTAGGTGCCTCATTTTCCGCTCATCCAGCAAACTATACGAGCTGTGCTAATCAGTCATAGAATTGAGGACAAGACTACATACCCCAAATCATCCAAAACCCCGTCTCGCAACCAAGCAACTCTGAAGAAGCCAGCCTGCTTCTTGATCACGGCACGGGTGCAGGTGGAACTTGGAATGGAGGAGCAAATGAATGGGCGCGGATTTCGTTTCGCTCTACCCAAGTTTGATGGGAAGATTAGGCTTTGGGGATGAAGGGGAATGAGGTGGATGGCGGAAGTGGATAGGTGGATGGCTTGCGGGTGGATGGAGACTGGATGAATGGCAGAGGTGCAGGAAGACAGGCTGGTTTCTGCGAGATGCCTCTGGTATCTCGGTTTCTTTCGTTATGTCGCTTGCGAACCAGCCATCACGAGCCAAGCTGTTTGCTCTCTGTTTGCTAAAACATGCACACAATCAATGCCTAGCATATGAAGCTTGCCTTTCCTCACACTCTTGACTTGAAAACCCAAGCCCCTATCTATCTCTTTTCTTCTGGAATTCAGCAGGTTGCTTACTGCATTTTGGATCTGAAGTTGCTCCGGATATGGGAGAATTTTGTGGCAAGACATGTGGGGGTTACTCGAGGGCTGCCGAACTCGACTCTGGATGTGAAAGTTCGAGCATGCATTATTCACTGCACAATGACGGGATCGCGAAGCCCTCGTCTCCAGTTAAAGAACACTCGAGTGCTTCCAAACGCAACCCCAAAGACAAAAGCCTAAGGATGGAAGGTTATTCACTACATACCAACGGGATCGCCAAGTCTTCATGCGGAGTCAACCAACTGGACTATATGATACCCTCTTGCCGCACGCTATTATCAGATTCGAACCACTTCCGCAACTGGGACTTGTCATTAGTTATGGCCTCCTGGACAACCCTACACTCCTCAGTGGCCGAGTTACCATCGGATGATGAGCTCCAATTAAGCCCAGGCGATGCTATTGGTCCCAAGGACGAGTCTTATACCGTCATTCGCAAGCTTGGCTCAGGCGGCTTCTCTACTGTTTGGCTTGCTTTGAAGGCGGACAGCAACCTTATCGTTGCCGTTAAAGCGGCCGATGCGGATGAGAGCGGGGCTAAGGCAGCCATGGATGAGGTGCGATTCCATCGGCAGTTGTTTCGCAGGGAGGACACTGGAGAAACTGAGGGGAATGTTGCGCGACCTCCACCTTTATCATCGCCGATTCCCATTGTTCGACTACTCTCCACTTTCGAGCACCTCTCTTCAAACGGAAACCTCCACCACTGCCTCGCGTTCGAGCCTATGGACGGCTCTGCATGGGACTTTGCACGCAAGCCTACTCCGCTCAAGGTTATCAAGGATGTTCTAAGGCAAACTCTTGTGGCTCTCAAGTTCCTCCATGGCCGCGGCGCTGTGCACGGGGATCTGCACCCTGGCAATATCCTTACTACCACTGCGGATGTGACCCAAGCCCATCAAGCGAGCGATGAGCATAGCCGAGTCATAGCAAAATTGTCCGATCTTGGAGCTTGTAAGTACCTTTCCCCTTACTCGAGTTCCCCCCACCATACACATAGTGCTAACCTTGTTCAGCATTCTGGGCCTGCGCCAATCGCCGCTGGACACCGGTCCCTAGCAGCTACCGTGCACCTGAGCAAGTCATTAGGAGTAACTATCTCGACTACCGCATTGATATCTGGAGTTTCGGCTGCATCATGTATGAGTTGATGTGCGGCGGACGGCAGCTCTTCGTAACTGCATCCATTCCGGGCGAGATGTCCCCTGATGAGTGTCATGTCTACCAAATGGTAGAGGTTATGGGCCCATTGCCCGAACATCTAGCCGATTGCTGGGGCAAGTTTGGGGAAAACTACAACGGCGCAAAGTCAAGGTATATATCAAGCAGACCGTTGACACTGATGTTGGGGAAGGTGGAGGGTGCAAGCCCTGCTGCGGACCTGCTACAGCGAGTTCTGGCTCTGGATAGGGAAAAGAGGCCATCAGCAGCTGAGATACTGAAGCATCCCTTCTTCGAAGAAGAGTAGGGGCTTACCGAGCTGTGTGAAATGCGCGCTAGTATTAGAGAGCATTCGAGACGTCGGATTTTCGTACCCTGAGAATGTTCATCTCATATCAAATGTCATTTTCTGGTTTTAAGTTCATCTTTTGGGTTGCTCGCCATGGTAGGGGCGCTGGGCTGGGCCGGCGTTGCTTGTGTGAGAAAGGGGATCCGCCTTCCTAGTATTGCAGTGCTAAATGCAGCAGCAGCGATTCCCGTCAGAGCGGAAGTTCGTAGCTATTTAATTAGTGCCTGTTGACATTATACGTTCCAGCATCCTTCGCGGGGTGTACTCTGTCGTAATAGTCCGCGAGGCTTAACGGTCGCTTGTACTCCCCGCGCGTTAAAGGCTTATAAATAACTAAATACAAGGCTACAGATACTTAAAAAAATTTAGAACTTTATTTAACCTCTTATAGAGCTAGCCGAGAATATTAAGCTTAGTCTCATGCTCGCTCCGAGAATTCTAGCCCCCTTCTTTTCTCGTGTCCTGCGCTTTTATTTATGCATAGTACCTAGGTTCGTCGAAAACATGGTACCTATGCCCGCGCACGCCCTCGCCCCTAAACAGCGCGGGGAACCTCAGACCCGGCGGGACTTGATCCTCAGGAACGACATCGTTCGAGCCTTCAGGCTGGTCGACGACGAATTTGGCAACCTGATTCAACGTCAGTCAGCGTCGTGTCCGTTCGCTCTCTTGACCTGAGGGGAGATTTCAGGCGTATCGACCACTTACCTGGAGTTCCGTGTCTGTGATCGTAGACCTGCTCACGCGAGCATAGCCCGTCCTCCTCAACCCCTTGTACAGTATATACTCGCACCAGCGGTCCCAATCACTCGGATCCACATCCCGCATCCCGCTCTTCTCGCCTACATACGTATTGTAATTCCCCTCGCCCGGCTTGACCACCAGATAACTCAGCAGAATCGCCGGTCTGGGGCTCGCCTTCATCCGCTGCGCCAGGTACTCGCTCTGCAGTCTGCGGTCCTCCGAGTCCTCCTCCTGGCCGGAGTGAAACACAAACACGTCGACGAGGCGCCCGTATGCATCAAGCGTAGCCTCGATGGCGGGCGCGAGCTCGCCGACGGGCGAGGGCAATAGGTGGTGCGTGGAGTTTACGATGGGGAACTTGGAGAGAAGAGCAGAGCCCCAGGTGTGCTTGTTGGGGCCGGGCCCGTAGTCGACGTACATGCCAAGGTCTTCGGCGAGGAATTGCGTTGTGTCGCGGTTGCCCATGATGATGCGCTGCAAGTCGGATTCTAGGAGGCCGATGACGTCGATTTCCATTTCTTTGATCAGATCGCGCATGCGCACTTCGGAGCTCCACATGTCGTTGTCGAGACTGAAGTGGATGGTCCAGATACCGGCGGTGATGCTCTTCGTCTCGGGATGGTGGGGCGTGTAGTTGTAGCTTGGGAAACGCAGATATGCGACTGCGATTGCTAGGAGTTCGAGGAAGAGCAGCACGTAAAGATAGTACGAGCGCTGTTTGCGAGCCGCTGGATTCGGACTGGGCGATTTACCTTTATATTTCTGGGAGGGTGTGGGTGGTTGCGCAGAGGCGCTGAAGACGCCGCAGCCGATGAGCAGCATCATAGCGGACATGACCCAATCGGTATGCTCGCGCATGAGCGGGCCGCCAGGAACGAAGGCGTAGGCGACAATCCAGACGTGCGCCAGGACCATGATGTTGTACATGAGGAAGCCAAGGCCGAAGGTTTTGGCTGGGGAATGGCGAGCTGCGTGGGAGATGAGGACGGGCGCCGCAGCCATGGTGTAGATAGTCAGGGCGAGTGCTCCATAGTATCCGAACCAGTGGCTCGAGGTAGTCAGGATGGCGGCGCCAATGGATCCTATGCCGTAGAACGCCCATGAGCGAGAGAAGGTTGGGTAGAAGAGGCCGATTACAAGACCCACGCCCATGGCTAGCAATGTCCAGGCTCCGTGTGGCACAGCAAGCGGACCACGTACGGGATAGCCTTCCCAGACCCATAGGATCATGGTGCTGGAGTCGGAGAGTAGGGAGTGCATGGAGAAGAAGAGGCCAGCCAGACCAAGACCAGTCAGAGCAGAAGAGCCTTTCGTAGGACCAGGAGCTGGAAGATCGGCGCCAGAGCTTGCGGACGTTCTCGTGGACCAAAGGATAGCCGGTATGGCGAGAGCAAGACCAAGCTTGTTCCAACCGCCATTCGGCGCATGCATAATAGGCCAGATGGGGTTGTTCGTCCAGAAAGCAAACTTGGCCAGGCTGGAAGCTATCAAGCCAAGGGAGAACGCTGATATGCGTGCTTCAAGACGGTGAGGTTGAGACCTCTCGGCGTAGAAGGTTGCTGACCACGAAAGACATCCCATCCAGACGCCGAAACCGACGGCGAAGAGGCGGTTTGCAGGGTTCCTGACCAGATAGGCGAGGAGGCCCGAGAGTGCTAGCAGGTGGCAGATCCGGATGTTGCGGATGACAAGGAAGCGGATGGACCTGATGCCGAGCAAGAAGGGCGAGATAGTTGACATAACCATGACTTCGTAGCCGGAAATACCCATATGCCACAGTGGGAAGTCTATTCGATTAGCGAAGCCTTACCAGACGCAGGTAGTATACTTACACCAGACGCAGACCCCAAGGGAGGTCAGCACCGACCAGAAGACGAACTACTCCATGTCAGCTAAGATCAATCCAGGCTGTGGAAGACTCACCCCATTGTAGACGTTGGCCACAGCATCGATAAATCCAACCCAGGAGAAGCCACCAGCGAAGACAGCGCCAACTTCCTTATCTTTCCTGTATGGGTGTCAGAGGTGGAGGACTTGTGTCAGGGCGGTTCTGGGTACATACTGTTTCTCGAGGACGACGTCGGCCACACCTTGGTTGCCAGCACTACAAGAAGCCATAAATCAGAAATTGTTCACAACACTTTTGCATTCGTGATAGCAACTATCTACTTTGGGAGCCATGGAACATACCCGCGAGTAATGCCTTTGACATCCTTCACAACAATTTCGAAGTTGGAGAAGTCGATTACAGTGACCGCGTCGAATGCCACATCCAGAAGTACAAGCGACCATTCGAAGAAAGAGTAGGTAGTATATGCTTGGTGAGAATTAGCATAGCATCAAGTACTTAGGGTATCGTGGACTTACCTCCAGCTACTCGGTGCACTTTGTGCTGAATAAAGAAGTATATAAGTGGCGCTATTGTGCCAAAGAAGGAACCGGCGAAAATCTTTCGATATTTCAAGGCCGTTCGGTTTCTCGGACTGAGGGCAATGCATCCAATGGTCCATGGTAAGGTTGCCACCAAGTACGAAATCATGAAGATGTCGTGCCAGTCATGATCATCCGTCGATGTCACATATGTCCACCCTCCGCAGGTCAAAGTTCGGAAGAGACCAATGCCGGCAACAAACTTGGGCAGGGTTGAGTTCGGTCGGCGCGTCAGAATGTACCAGAGAGCGACTAATGCGAATCGCGGACCTATTCCATCATTCAGCGCTTTCCCTCAATGCGCATTCAATCGCATACCGGATGTTATCGCGATGAAGAGCATGAAGACGGACCGCTCGGGATAGCGGTCGCCAATTGTGGATGAGACCGATGGGAACCATTCTTGCGGATAGCCCTGCGCCGCTCAGTATCCTTGCACGCCATTTGGGTTCACTATACCGACGTAGAACTCATTCTGTACGATCTTGTGGTAATGGAGGGATCTGGGCCGGTTAGAAGAGCTCGTCTGGATAGGGCGGTCGGCGCATACAAGCCAACAACTAGGGCTCCGAGGAAGGCGCCTGTCGAAGCATTAGCGCGGGAAAGTGAGGCATTATAAAGTTCACTTACAGTACGCGACGATAGTGTGCGACCACGATATCCATTTTCCATTAAACTGTATACCCGTAAGCATGCGCGGGTGGCTTGGACGTCCGGCGGCCATACCGACGCTACGACGTCGCCGTCTTTGAATTTTGGTGCCATAGCTACGAAATGAAGAGAGACATCAAAGAGTCTCCCGCCAAGGGAAGAGGAGGAATTGAACGAGCGTCGAGAAGATGAGTTCAGAGTAAGACACGCTGCCTCTCCTGAAGTGTTTACTGACGTTGCAGGGATTCGCGGCGGTTGCGGGCCGAGGAAACCCCGCTCTAGGGCGGCAACTTTACGCGAGCACTTTCTGAACTTCTCGAACTTTTTCGAACAGCACACCAAACCACAACCATGGCGGGCCCGAGCGACAAGGCGCGCTTCTACCTCGAGCAGTCGGCCGAGGAGCTCAATGAGCTTGAGCGAAAGAAGATCTTTACAAGAGTGGGTACGAATTTCTCTACTAAGTAATCGCCCACTAACACCCCACAGGAAGAAATCAGCGCAATAGCGAAGAAGCGGTCAGATTTCGAGCACATCGTCAATGCCAGAGGGTCACATCCCTCCGATTACATGCTATACATCGAATTCGAGAAGAATGTGGACGCGCTGCGTCGCAAGCGCATTAAGAGGCTGGGCGTACGATACAAGGGGAGCGGCCAGCGCACCATATACGCCATCTACAACCGTGGGACGAGGAAATTTTCCGGCGATCTGACGCTTTGGATGCAGTATATTGAGTTTGCGCGCAAGGAGAAAGCATTCAAGAGACTCAGCGAGATCTTCACGAACGTGGTTCGGTTACATCCCACAAACCCGGACCTCTGGATCTACGCCGCGAACTACTTTATGGACACCCAGGCGGATATCACGGATGCGCGAAGCTATTTGCAGAGGGGACTAAGATTTTGCAAGAACTCGGAAGTTCTTTGGCTAGAGTATGCGAAACTGGAGATGATCTATGTGGCCAAGATTGCAGGTCGTAGGAGAATACTGGGACTGGACGTGGATCGAACAAAGACGCTGGCTGAGGAAGGTGAAGATGCAGATATGATTGCTCTTCCGGACATTACGGCTGAAGACGTCAATCCAAGCCTAAGGAAGGAGGATGGGGTTGACGAGGTGGCACTCCAGAATCTAGCCTCTGCACCCATATTGACCGGAGCCATCCCAATCGCCGTCTTTGACTCCGCGATGAAGCAGTTCAAGAGTGACTCCGCACTCGCGGAGAAGTTCTTCAATATGTTTGCGGAGTTCGACCAGGTACCATGCATCAGCAAGATTCTTCGGCATGTTCTGGATCATCTCCAGCAGAACTCCCCGCAGGCCGTTCACACAGTTGCATGTGCTTTCCGTCGACGACTATTCGACATTGAACCAGCGTCGCCCGCGTTTCCTGCCGTTCTGCGAGATGCGTTGGATCAGTTGAACTCAGCGGTCCAAGTGCACCCAAGCTATAAACGCCACCTATCCGAGACAGCAGTCCGAGAGATCCTGTTGCATCTCCGAGCGGCCTACGATCTTGATCCGGCCGTCCAAAAAGTTCTCACGGCGAGACTCCGATCCTTTTCTCGCGCTCTAGAAGAAGCCACGACAGGATCGGGGGATGCTATAGTTGCACTCGTCAAAACACTACGAAAAGAGGGGAAGAAGGAGGACGCGGGTCGGTTGATTCGAGCGAACATGAAGCAGTGGGGTACAAATGAGGAGCTTCAGCGGCTCCATTCCTCCTTGGACACCTGAGTCAGCAAGGACACTTTGCCCTACTTTGGCCAAGCCTGACGAATATCCTCCTCGATGCGAGGAGCTTTGATAGCTCTCAGATCCATATGCCGGCCATCCCCAAGATATTGCCATCTCTCAGTAGATAAGATGGTTATCGCATACCCTACCCGTGCAGATACCCCTGCCTTGCTTCCTGCAGCTCAATCATCACCCCGGCTCCTCCTTGAGCTCTTCCTGGCGCCGCGTTGCCTCTTCGTCTTCAGCCGTCGCTCGTTATCAGACTTTTGTCTGGTGCTGTCAGTATAGATTCGCCGATGAACCGAGTTAGCTCACAGTTGCTTTACGCGCTGCGCTTGCTCGGCCGACGTCTCGCCCGGTATCGCTCCGCGCCCCGCATCCACGATAGCTTCGTACAGCCTCTTATAGCAGCTATGTGCATTATCGTTCTGCTTACGGCTGTCGTCGGCTTGTATGATGATCGCATCGGATCGAGCAGCGACATAGCGAGAGCTCCTGAGTTCATCGTGGAGCGCGCTGGGCACGTGTTGTAGCAAGGCATCAAGAGGCACTTTCAATGTAGCCTTCGAATTCACTCTTGTACATACTTAGCGGCGGTTTGAGCTACCATCGTGAAAGCATACTTGTTAACATTCTGCCCGCCGGGACCGGAAGACCTGCTGAAGGTCAATTCGCCTATGCTCTTCGGGATAGTGTCTGCGTGCAGCTGATCCAGCCACTTGCGCGCGGCTTGGAGGTCTTCTTCGCGCGCGTTGGTTCTGCTTTTCCCAGAGGCAAAACGGCGGATGCTCGCTACAGCTAGCCACGGGCGTGCGGTCGGAGGAAGGTGAAGGCAATGCGTAGAAATACGCAGCATGATGAACGCGTGATGCAATCCCGTTAGATCGAAGGGCAAGCTAAGCTGCCGCTGGACTAGAAGGTGGATTACATAAGCCGCTCGCCGGACAAGCCTCGAAAAATTGGCGTTGGCAGCCTGTGCCTCGTGGACGTTCTCTCTCCCCACCACTTCACCTCCCAACAGCAGCGGCCATTTCCCGTTCGCCGCCCACGGCCCTTGCCACTCTTACCAGAGCCGCATACTCACATACTCACTGCATTCCCGCCTACTCTTTCGCATCCCACCCTCGTCGTGTGCCCTTGCCGCCCCGTCTGCTTCTAACGGGACATTGTTGCACTTACTGATCACTGCTGCTCGCATACAGGACAGAGGACCACCCCGCTTCGGCCTCCCCCGCGCGTGCAACCGCCGTCAGTGCTGTCGCCTTGCTGCGCGCAGCGCTGTGTAGATGCCTTGGGTGCACCCTCCCCTTGTGGCCCGTCTGTAAACGCGCTCTGCGCCGTGGCTTAGCATACATGATATCCAGTCCACCAGAGGAAGCTGAACACATTGGCGGCAATTCCCTGACGCCCGAGTCGCCGAAGCCCCTCCACTATCCTTCGCCCTCGAACATCCCTATCCTCGAGAAGCAGATGGACCCCATGCTCAGTGAGCCTGCGCTCAGCATCGGCACCCCGGCTTCGTATCAGTCATATCCGCAGCAGACGCAGACGCCGAGCGCGCAGTCCACCACGTCGTACTACGCCGAACAACAGACCGTCCCTAATTACCAGAATGCGTCAGCGCCGGGCTCTGTAGGCGCTACGCCGGCTGGCTATTCGCAGCCAACGGCGTACGGCAGCGCAGTGGGTGTGCAGACGCAAGATACAGCCTCAATCCAGAATTTCACTGCACAACAGCCATCCGCATCATCCTTCAGTGACGCGAACTTTGCGCCCACCCCAGAGAATCGCTCTGCGTACCCGTATTCCCATGATGCCAATGCGTATGCCACCCAGCAATATTCAGCCCAGTCTGCTCTGGGTGATCATCCTCAGCTTCAATCCAACGGTGTCGGCAGCATCGACGTTCAAGCATTACTGGACAGCCTATCTCCCACGTCGACCAAAGGTCCCTCTGATCGATATGCCGCTCCTGCAATACCTCCGCAGCCCGCCCCATCCCAGGGTGGCACGCCCGCCTCGTCGCTTCCCGCGGCCCCGAACCTCCCCCCTCGACCTCCGCCACAAGAGAAACCCGCGACGCACCCCAATTATAATCCGAACGATGACATCAGGTCATATCATCCCCATAGTGCACACCGCGGTTCTGCTCAATTGCAGCCTTTGAATTTCCGAGGTGGGGGACCAGATCAATCTGCGACCCGGTCAAACCTCAGCCCTAGCACTCCGGTATACGGTCAACGACAGTCGGTCGATCTGCAGCGTAGTGCGACACCAGACGATGAAGACCAGCGTTGGCCGCCGGAAATCAACAAGTTGTATGAGGACTTTTTGGATCAGGAAAGGAGATTTGTCACGGAGGGGCAGTGGGATCAGTTTCCGATGGGATCCCGTCTCTTTATTGGTGAGCAGGGACCATCTCCTTGTGTGGAAAGCACGGCTAACATGTTTCAGGCAACCTTCCAACAGAGAAAGTTACCAAGCGCGACATCTTCCACCGATTTTACAGACACGGCAGACTCGCCCAAATATCGATAAAGCAGGCATATGGCTTCGTACAATTCCTGGACTCAGAGTCTTGCTACAGGGCATTACAAGCGGAACAGGGACAAGCTGTGCGTGGTAGAAAAATGCGTAAGTAATTGTTGCTTCCCTTAGTACGTGAGTCTAACAGAGTTAGATCTCGAGATATCCAAACCGCAACGGAATACGAAGAAACCGGAGGCCGACCGAAATAACGGTGCGCGCCGGCGCTCCCGTTCGCCAGACTACACCCGTGGAGGGACTGGGCCTATGTCGAGGAATGATCGATATGGTGGGAATCAGAATTCAATGTCGCCTCGAGACAGAGACAATAGACGTTTCCGAGACGACTACCGTTCCATCCGGTCACCGTCGCCCCGTGGCGGGCGTGGCTTTCGCGGAAGGGAGAGGAGCCCCGAGAGGTACGACAGACGGCGGCGGAGCAGATCACGATCGCCACGGCGATACAGGAGTCCGTCACCCCGTCATGGTCCTTCCGACGAGCTTCCGCTTCCCCCAAGAGCTCCACATGAGGTCCCAGATGTACAGGTTCTAGTTGTCAACGAAGGACTACCACGGGATTTCATTCGATGGGTTGAAGATACCTTTCGAAATTCAGCCCTCCGCATTGATGTGCTCATCATGAGCCCTCGCCTTGATGAAGCAGCCGTTGTTCGGAGGCAGATTGTAGAGGGGGTGCTAGCGATTGTTAGATTGAATACGGCGTCTTTGGCTAAGGGCAAGATCAATATACAGATCTTTGATCGAAGAGGCGGCGCCAACAATGTCCAATTCAACGGTAAGTAACGTATCTCAGCTCGTAGCAAGCCTTGTTGTCGCGTCCGAGAGTTGGGCTGACTGTTCGCAGAATACGCTGATCTGGATCCGGCGACTGCCGCTGCGCTCGTCGTGAACGCAAAGCAGGCCAGCTACCAACCGGTGCAACCGCCCGCGCCCGCTCCGGCTCCATACGCTCACAGCTACGGCGGGCCGCCTCTAGCTAATCCTTACGCTCTTCCTACGCCGACTAACGCCTCCAATCCCAATCTTTCGAGCCTTATATCCTCGCTTGATCCAAATGGTCTATCACAGCTTCTAGGCGCCATGTCTGGGAATAACAGCACCAGCCAGACTCCGCAACCTCCATCTGCGGCACATGCCCCTGATCTCGCCCGCCTGCTGGGATCAATATCTACTCCGGCACAGGCTCCTGCTTATACCGCACCATCGCAACCCCCTTACTCATATCCCAATCCTTATCAGAATCCAGCGCTAGGTTCGCTTCTTGGAGGCCAAATCCCCGCTCAACCAGCTGCTCCGCCTGTCCATACTCCCACTCAGGCACCTCCTCAAAGTCAGCCAGACATGAATGAGATCATGGCTCAGTTGGCGAAGTACCAGCGTTGAAATCGTCTCTGCTATATGTGGCTGGCAGCCGCCTGCCAGGGGTCTCCCAAGACTTCTATTGCTTGGTTCTTCGCTTTACCCGATTCCACCCAAGCTAGTGGCTCTGCCTCTAATCGCCGTTCGACGTTGGCTACTATCAATACTTGCCGGAATAAGATTCATTTGCAAGCAGGACGAACTTCCGACCATGCTGCGGTATCAGCTTGCTTAGCTTTTCGGTTTTTGATCCCGGCCATTGTCAAAAGCAGCGCTCTAGACGCCACTTCAACGATTTTATGTCCTAGCTCTGGCTAACGGACTTCCTGGACCTATGGCTCTTGCCCACAAGCATACCGAGGTTCTTTGGTTTTCCGATCAAAGTCGGCGGAGAGGATCAGTGCTCTGCTGCCGAAGACGTCGTTTGGTTTCCTGGTCGAATCGGTGAAGAGGGTGATGCATGCTCTGCCGCTGGAGAGTGCCTTGTTTGCCTCTGACTGTTCTTTCTGTCATGTTCTTTTGCGAGGCGTTGGCGGAATACATGGATGTATTTCTAGCATTGTTCTAGGGTTGCTTATTCCCTCACGAGACGTACATATGAGATGAAAGGATAGGTTCCTGGGCACAGAGCGATGTGACACGTCCAACGTTGCATTAGGCTTTTGGAATAGAAGTCAACTCTATCATTTAACATTTAACCTTGTGATGAGATCACTATTATTCCGAATCTGGTATAGCGCATTCGCGCGTTCCGATGACACCGCGTCTCCCAATTTTCTGGATGCGCCTTTGAACATTTGAAATTCTTCTTCCTCTATACATGTACGCCGTCCTCATGAATCCACGGCCGTCAATATCTTTCTTTGCGATACCAGCCCGCGCCAACAAACGAGTTCCGTCGCTGCAATGCCGCCGTGATCTTCACTACCTTCGCGCATTCATTGCGCCTTCGACGAGTTGCTATCATCGCTCTCGCACACCTCCCCGAATACCCACGCATACTTCACAAATCATCATACGCCATGCGTCCTCCGCAGTGACAGCTCTAAAACCCTCTACGCCCACGAATCCCAAGATTAACGTTCCCGCAAAGTCGCCGTCCTCCAACGTCCCCATCCCGCAAGTCCGCGCGAAAGTCAACCCGCCGCCGGAGACTCATGCTCCCGAGCTACACGTCCCGGCACGCAAGCAGGGGCAAGGCTATATCAGCTATCTGTGGCGGACGGGAAGGGCATACATCACTTTCTACAAGGACGGGATACGGAACGTACGCGCAACCGCTCGCCTGGCAAAATCGCTCCGCGAGAAAGCCGCAAAGGCTCCGTCTTCGAGTAGAGAGCAGGCCCTCACGAGGGCAGAATGGCAGATTGTGCGGAGGAGCAGGGCGGACATCTGGAGATTGCCTGCGTTCGCGGCGATTGTGCTGGTGCTTGGGGAGTGGACGCCGGTCATTGCGCTGTATGTCACGCCCTTGATTCCGGAGCCTTGCCGCATTCCGGCGCAAGTCAGACGAGGACTGCATAAAAAGGAAATAAGGAGGAAGGAGAGGGAGAGGAGACTCGCGATGGACGCTGCGCGGCTTGTTGCTAGAGACAGAAAGCCGGGGACTACGCCTACTGGGCTTGTGCGTCCGCAGACGTTGAGGCTAGAAGAGGTACGGAAGATGGATTTGTACACACTGCTCACGCTTTCGACACGATTGGACTGCCATTCTGGGATATGGGATAGGCTGTTTTTGACACCGCCAAAAGCGCTGTTGAAGTGGGCTTTGAGGAAGAAGGTGGAGTATTTGAGGAAGGATGACGGGTTGATTGAGAGGGATGGCGGGTGGCAGGCTTTGGAGAGTAAAGAGATACAAAGAGCGTGCGTGGAAAGGGGGATTTCGGTTGTGGGGCGCAGCGAGGAGGCGTTGAGGAGGGAGTTGGCGGCTTGGTTTAAGAGGTAGTATACAGGACTTTAGGGGGAGTATTGTTGCTGTATGAATATCCTCATTCGCGAGGAGTAAAGCATGCTGCTGTACATATGTATCATATACCAAATACCTGAGCGTTGCGACGACCGAGCCGGAGCGGCTTCAGACTGTTCTGTGCGTATATAAACCTCCTCCACAGCTCCGTCGACGGAGTCTTCTTTGTACATCAGTCCTTCAGGCACCCACTAAAACCCCTCCGAGCTAATTTTCATGGAGTCCCTCCTCTGGGACCGCTAAAGACCGATATGGCACCTTTCCATGGAGAATCCTCGTCCGCCCCTAAAACCACGCATCCTTGGCTGTCCTGCGGCTCAAAGGCGCTTCGCCGCGTTGTAATGTCCTGTCCCAGCGCGTTTCGCGCTTCCCAGAAGATTCCACAAAACTACGGTATGAAGGTCGAGCGGGCCTTAAAAACGCTGTAATGACTCTAATGGCTTGGACCGCGTTCTGAAAGGAATACTCGAGAGGATACATGCCTCCGAGTGGAGTGGAGTGGAGAGAAGAAGAAGATCGAAGATCGAAGATTCAGCCTGAAACGCGCACACGTTTTCGCCCATGCGAAAGAATGAGATGTGCGTTGAATGGTTGCGTTGAGCAAGCAATAAGATGGTCGGTGGGTATATAAACGCCCTCGATCCCCCCTCCAGAGAAATCCTCTACATACAGCCATACTCGGGTATTCGCTAAAATGCAACCAGCGGACCTTCCATGGAGATCCTCCTCCGCGTGCTCTAGAATCCAAGGCATCCCAATCATGGACCGGTCCCCTGTTTTCTAAAAGGTCAACAGGACAGATCGATGGGTTCTCAAATCCCAAGACTCCAGTGTCATGGTGCCGCCCTGGTTCACGAAAGTTGAAAGTGCGTAATGAGGCTAGCTGCTCGGTTTCGAAAGTGAGATTGATGCATATGATGGGCTTGGAGAGTCGCCCCAAAGCGCTACACAACACCCTGTATGTCTGTCGAGAAGAGTAGGGGGACTGAAGGGGCCTTTCCATGGGAGGATGGAAGCAGCATTAGATGGATCTGCGCGTGTATAAACTCCTTCCGCGCTTTATCCACGAAGTCTGCGCTGCACGCACTTGCATTGGCAAATCACTAAAATCAATCCGTTCAAGCATTATGGTGTTGCTTCGCTGCATCTTCTAAAAACTTTGATCATGAAAACGCCATGGGACTCGTCTGTCGTCAAGCCCTTTACACTCCCCTTTGCGGCCTCAAACCTGACAATTCGGCGTTCATGCCGTGACTCTGCGAAGTAGCAACCAAATGCAGACTCCTATCTCCGTGCGGTACTGGAGAGACTTCACCAGAATATCCACATCAAAGAGCGCATAAAAGCCAGGGCTCAAAAAGTCTTCTACGACCAGGGAATGTTTTTGGCGAAAGACCAAAATCACAACCACTCAGAGGACATAGCCCGGGGACTTCGGCTCTCCAAAAGCGAAGTACCAATCGTCAGATGGGTCTCGTTCCGGAAGTTGGCGCATCGTTCCGGGATTGATAAGCTCGACGTTGATGGATTCCTAGAGCTGCTAAGGGGAAGGGAAATGTCTCTTCCGCCGTTCTTCCCTGTGTCTATGAAACAAAAGCCGTCCGGTCCGAACACCAGGCGTGCTTGCGAAGTACTAGGAACGGTTAGTCGAGATGGCTAGAAGAGGTTACAGGCTATACAGCCCCCTTCCGCTGCTTCTTCGCAAAAACTCCTTCCACACACTTCGCTGGACGAGCTACTAAAAACAGGGATCGCTTTCACCATGGCGTTCCTTCTCTGTCCCGCCCAAAACTTCCGAGTAAGCGATGTCATGGAGCGCTCCTCCCTTTGGAAAAAAAAAAAAGCGCACGCGCAAGCGGTCATGCGGTGCCAAAGTCCAACAAGACACAGCCTATGTTGCCGTGCTGGCTTCCAACTCCGTAGGCACCGACTACAGCCCCTTCACTTCCATATAATGTCTCCAAAATAGCCGGAGCAGAAGAGAATGTTGCCTGGCTGGAGAGGCTAAAACTTCGATTCAATTCGTTACATGGATTTGAGACCAGGAGAGTCTTGGTGCCATTTACAAGTTTTTTCCGGGAGCAGGGAAAGGGAATTAAAGGCCATGCGATGCATATGTATGCTTCATTCCAAGAAGCACCCCTCCGCCGGCTATGTGACGCAGAAGAACTGACACCTAATCGTATATAAAGGCTTTTTCCTTTTCTCGTCAGGCGCTCTCTTGCTCAATCATCCGTCGAGAAACTAAAAACATCGAAACAGCCCCTGGATGGAGGCCCTCCGGCTGTTTCTCCGGAAAAAGCAGTACTACTATTTCCATGGAGCCTTTCCCCCCCCCACTGCACGATCCAGCCTGGCAGCTAACTATGTGGGAACTGAAATGCTCACGGCTCGGAATCATGCCCCTAACCCTGGGAAAGGGTATCCAAAAGCCAGCCATTTCCCCCGCATGCTGGGAAGAGAGGTCCACAAACAGCATTCTGTACGACATTTTTGCTGTCAAGAGAAACGCTCAAAGGGCCAGGCTATCAAGGGTCGTTTCCAGAACTACAAGAAACTGAACAATTCCACGCTGTCTTGAGGACCTGGAGCCGAGATCAAGAGGTCGACTTTGAAACGTATGCTTGCTCCGTTTCAGGAATGCTCAGTTCCTCATCACCATGCGCGAAGTTGAGACGAGATCTCGCGAAGGTGTATGGATCCCCTTCTGGCCCTTCTTCTGAAGGATCCTTCTCTTCACTCCTACCACGCAGTGCAACAAAATCTCTTCGACACCCTGAATACGGAGAACCTTCTTTCACTTCTTCGAAAATTCGACGCCGAATCCCGAAATGGAGAACCCCTGTCCACAAAGCGCAAAAACGGCCTTCTGGCGCACTGCATCTAGTCATTCCTCCATCAACCTTATCAGCGGTTCTAAACTGAATGAGGCAACCCTGACGTCGGTACCGTTCGTGTTTCGTTCCTAAGCCATATAAAACGGCACGCATGGTGGAGTAGAGATCAGCTCAGACTCAGCTCTAAGAACTTTATTACCCCCTTCATGGTAGCCCTCCGCTTAAGGTCCGGCACTCAGAGCTGTAATACGAAACCCCTCTCCATCTTCTTCCCTGCCGTTCGACCAAAATATGCGGCATTTCTATCTCATGGAACTCCTCTGCTTCTTCTAAATCCTGGAAGCACGAAGGCATGAACCTTTCCTCGTGGTCCAAACCAAGCTCATTAAAACGCAAAGACGAGTGGCTCATATGGTCAGATTCGAGAGGAAAGTGACGTAGCCGACTGCCATGGGTTCCGGACGAGAGACAGGGATGTACAAGATCCATGGCTAAGAAACCGAGGAGCTCTAGCCGGTATTCGCCTCAAGCACGCTTGCTAGAGACTCTGGAAAGAATCACAAGCGAAGAGTATAGCTTGCAGAAGATAGAATACGCAAAATATACGAACCTTACCGGCCATGCTTCCTTCCAAAATCCGTTTGGGCTTTCTCATGGGTGCTACCGGGATACTAGTCAATAAAAGCCAGACTCTTACCTGTTTCACGAAGACTTCTCGAAAAAGGCGACACCGATCCCAGTATGAACTCCCCCTCTCTTCCAGTCTCTCAACACGACACAATGTGGAAAGTGTGGCATCTAGTCCTCTTCCCAAGAAACAACATCATCCAAACACCAGCATTCGCTCCCCATGTGGCCAAAAAGCACCAACTCCAAACCCATACCGGCCCTCTCCTGAACGAGAAAAATAGTACGATGCCTATCTATGTCCGCGAGGTATCAGCAAACACTTGCGACTGCGATGATGCGAGTCGATCGAAAACCCCGTAACAAACCAGCCATGTCTGGGGAACCGTGGGAAAAAAGGCAGCAGATAGTCCGTTGAATGTCCTGTGGTGCCCAGCGGCGTGAGATTGTTAAAAATTCGGTACGTCGCAACGGTCATGGCCCTGCGGAGTCGACTTGAAGATTTCGTTCCTCGTTCGGGTTTAGTAAAGTCCCTTTTCCTCGCTCGATCCAAAGACAGCAGGCGTCCGAATCTCTGTTTTCCGAGGACTTGCGTAACATGATCAGCTCATGTATGGCGTTCCCAACAATATACGAAACGCCATGTCCTCGCTTGAGACATCGATATTTGGGGTGCAACATGATTTCGATTAGTGGGCGTTTTCGACCAGTCTCGCCGGTTTTAGAGGTCCACCAGAAAAGCCGGAGAGGTGCAAGACAGCTCAGAATGCTCCTGGAGTAGTTGCTTGCCTTCTCTCGAAAAGGGTGGATGACTTTCGCCATGGTTCCCGCCCGGTGGTCTCGCTCCGGACATGATGTCGAAGGTTTCGGCCTGACGACAGCCAGAATGTTAAGGGCATCTCAGCGAACGAATATGAGCCGGTAAGAAGGGGAGGTAAGATGGAGATTTGGAGATGACGATCACCACTGAACCTCGTGGAAGGTAACACCCATACAGGAGCAAAAACAGCGCCGACGATATAACAAAACCCGCGGACGAAGGAAGGTACCAGGCTGGACTCCAAGGTTTGCCGTTGAGTCCCTCATCGCTCGTAGGTAGAATTGCAAAATTGACGGGAGCTAAAGCTCCACATCGGATTGATCCCGATCGCGTATCGAACGAGACCTAGACGTTCCACCATGCAGTTTCCCCTCCTACTACAAGGTCACCACGAGCTTAGAGGCAGAGATCTTGTTGTTGCGGTAGTAATCAAATGCCTGCCGAATGGCCTCGAGACCGTGGCCTACGACGTAGGGATCAGGTTTAGGAACGAACTGGCCAGCAGACATAGCCTGGCCAAGGAAATCCGGATAGCAGGCCTGGCTGACCTCATTGGCCATGAGGTCGCTGCCGTTGACCATCTTGGTAGAGACACCCTTGATCCGCGCTGTGATTGCCATCTTGACAAACCAAAAGACCATTCCTACTAAGCCCAGCATGCCCGGTCGTGCGTGGGTCATCACCAGTGGAACGCTGCATTGCACCACAACCTTGTTCCTCTGTGGGGCTGCAGTGATCGTGATGCACGCCTCCAGCGATCCGCAACCGATAGAGAGTGCGCCCGCGCATGTTTTTCCCTTCAAATACTGTATGATCTTGTTGGAGGTGTCGGGATCGTTGTAGTCGAAAGCCTGCGAAGCGCCCAGCTCTTTGGCTAACTCGAAGTTTTTGGGAGATGCGGTGGTGACATCGTAGCCGGCCGCACGGGCGAGCTGAATAGCGTTGGCGCCAACACTGGTCGAGCCGCCCCAGACCAGGACCGTCTTGTCCTGGCTGATGGGCTTGGACGTCTTAGGATGCGCGAGTGCGAGAGTACCCTTCTGAAAGAGGCCACAGGCGGCTGTTGAGAAGCCCAAGGGAATAACGCAGGCGCGGTCGTAGGAAATATAGTCGGGAATCTTAGCGGAGAGATTGGTTCGCAGTACCACGTACTCCTGGAAAGCGCCCTCGGGGGCGCCCTTGCTTCTCTTGTCGAAACCCACCGCGTGCCCGACTACTCGGTCGCCCACCTTGAACTGGGTGGCATCCACGTTGTCGCTAACCTCTACGATCTCGCCGGCCACGTCGTGCCCGAGCACATGTAGGTTAGAAATATAGCTGAAGGCGAGCTTAGCCGCGACTTGCATGATTAGGTCTACTGGATTGATGACGACGGCGGCCGCCCTGATCACAAACTCATCCGGCCCGGGTTTCGTGTACGGGGCAGACCGCACTTCGAGCGGCTTGTTCTGCTTGTCCACGAGGAATGCGGCGTGGTTCTGGAAAGGCATGACAGCTGCTGTTGACTCTTTCGACATCCTTTGTCCTATGAGAGAAAAAGCGAAGTGTCGCAAAAAGGGTCGTCAAGGTGGGTTTGATGAAAAGGGAAGTTCGTATATGATAACCGGGAGATTGAGGAATCGAATGACTGAGATAATGGGTAAGTAGGGCGTATTTAAGAAACTCGCACAACACCTGAGGCGTATAACGGATGCGAACTTGGACATAGTAGAGATAGTCGGACCGGCGTAATGACGCTCATATTGGCCAAATGGGGACAGTGAATGAACATTGCTCTAGTCGAATGCCTCCGTGTAAACCGATCGTACGCGCTGGAGTTTCTGTATACCTCGAAGATGCGAATCGGAGTGTGAAGATTCGGCGTTGATTCTTCCGGCTCCTTAGTTTACATCCGACCTCGTGACTTATACGCTAACCACAGCTCGTAATGAAGTGGCTTCTGGTTGGCCGCAGTGAGACTTCGCCAGCAGAAAACTGCGAAGTCTTCCTTTAAAAAAAATTTCGATGACCGCATCGAAAACGGTTGCCGGGTGGATTTTTTTGACGTTTCCGAACAGCTCTAGCGCTCTTACGTCGCCCTTCAACTGTCTTCTTCGAATCCTTGGTTCCACTTCTCTTCGTCGTTCAAATTTTGTCGTACTTCCTCTTGAGCCAACCGTCTATATGTTTTCCGAGCCATACCTTTTGCAACGAGCGTCTTCTTGCGACCCTTCATTAGTGCCTAGGTGTCCTTATATCTTACCCTGCGGGCCCTTCCACAACAGTACCTACCGCAAAGAGTTGTCGCGAAGTCGGAGAGTAAAGTCATATGGACTTGAAGGGCGTTGTTGAGACCGCTTTCTTTACGCTTTAGGCGATTCTCAGCTTCTTTCATTAACTTCAACCTCCTTGGGTGGGCAGCGTCGTCACCCATAGCTAAATCTAAATAAGCCGTGGACACTGCATCGAGCGGCGTCGTTCGATTGTCCCGTTGGGGCATCCTTACCGTTGTCGCGTCGTTGTTGGTCGTAGTGAGGCACGTGTGAAGACGGATCGTTGCAGTGCCGAGGCGCGAGGCTGCCCCACATCCCCAAGATGCTGAAGGGTGGATTTAATCGGCACCGACAATACGAAAGAGGTCGTATTTCCCCAGGATGGCAGTATCACGAGCAGGCCTGCTCATGGGCATCCTCTCATATAGGCGCTGGAGCTACATGCTCGATAAAACCAGTACCCATGACGCATTACAGACTGCAATGCTCTCCTAGAAAGGACTTGGGGACATGGACTCTCTGTTAAGGTCCAAGCACCGATAGACTGTGTAGGTAGTAGAGAGAACTAGCGGACCGCGGTGACCGCGCGAAGGCTAGCCGCTGGTGGCTGACGTGTGGAAATTTCCGCTCCTTACCACCATCCAATCGAAAGGAAGCAGCGCCGTGAATTGACGGAAACATCTCTCCTAGAACATCATTCGTGACGGCGGAGGAGATGAAGTTTTGACACCAAATTCCACAGTCTATCAGATGTACCTCGGCCAAACGCTAGAGATCCTGGGGAACCCTGCACTTTCATCCCGGCCCACCTGTACTCGCGTGCACATCACACCAAACCGCTTTGAACACGTCAACAAGGGTCTACTTCCCAGATCTGCCGTCATCGCTCGCAGTTCCCACATTCGCACCCATCGCCGCCGCGGGCTTCCCAGCCAGGAACGTGTCACAACGACAGCCAGGCTGGCAACAAGCCCCGCGGACGAATTGCGCGCTGAGAGACGCACCGAGGACCCCGGCCCAATAATGCAGATCGCTCACCGGAAACGGAACACCGCCGACCGTGAGAAGAGGGGAAATTTTCGACCGTTGATGCGTGGATGGCTCGTGGCTTGCGTAATTGACAGCCTTGGAAGCCGGCGTTTACGGCAGGTGAGCTGGAAGGATGCGAGGCAGGATCATGGCGGGCTGGACACGGCTCCAGATTAAATGCGCTGGGGCTCCCGTGCCTGGTGCCTGGTTCTCGGACGGTCTTGCTCCTCCATAATTGCAGAATAGTGGAGATTAGAGGTTTGAGCAGAGGTTGCCGAAGCAAATATTCTTAAGAGTTAGTATCGGTATTGCTATTGTAATTTCTAATCGCACAGCATGTTCCGCGTTTTGGGAGCAGCAGCAGCTCTGCTGAGCGCTGTATATGCGCACAACACTTCGCTGCCAATTGTCGACCTGGGTTATGAAATCTACCGGGCTTCTGGGTTCAATGTAAGTCCTCTTTCTTTCCTTCCTCTGCTCTGAGGGACCGCTCCTAACATGATGCCACAGGAAACGGGGCGATTCTACAACTTTTCCAATATTCGCTATGCACAGGCTCCTGTTGGCGACTTGAGATTCGCACCACCCGTAGCACCCATCGAAAATAGGACGGTGATTCGGAACGGCGACGTCGGAAGAATATGCCCGCAAGCTAGTCCCGCATGGTCTCCTCTATCCGCTACATTCCTAACGAATATTATCCTAGGCGAGGAAGACAACGTCACAACGCCGTACGTACCTCCTGGAGCCAGTGCGAATATGACAGCCCCAGAACCGGGCCCTTTGGAATCCGAAGACTGCCTTTTCCTCGATGTATTCGTACCAGAGCAAATCCTACAACAAGCCGGCTCCGGCTATGGTGCTCCAGTGCTCGTTTGGATATACGGCGGAGGGTACGTTGGCGGAAACAAATACCGGAACCCGGCTGGTCTGCTCGCGGCATCGGGGAATGTTTCGAGCGGAGAAGTCATTTATGTGGCTATGAACTATAGGCTTGGTGCTCTGGGATGGTTGGCTGGTTCTTCTTATCAGGCCGAAGGCGGTGTCAGCAATCTCGGACTTTACGATCAACGCTTTGCGCTCGAGTGGGTCCAGAGTTACATTCGTCAATTCGGCGGTGATCCGGATCGCGTCACCGTCATTGGAGAGAGTGCAGGCGGCGGAAGCATTATGCATCAAATCACGGCCTATGGTGGTTTGAAGGGTCCTGTCCCGTTCCAACAAGCCGTCCCACAATCTCCTGGATGGGACCCGCTTCAGTCTCAGCTCCAGCAAGAGGAGACATACCGACGCTTTCTGAATCTCACAAACAGCTCGTCACTTGCTGATCTCCGGGCACTCTCTTCTGCAGACGTCATCCGCGCAAACTATCTGCAGGTTGCATACGACCCGGGCTGGGGAGGATACGTTTACGGTCCTGTGGTTGACGGCCTCTTCGCCCCTCTTCAACCCGGCCAGCTCCTCGCACAAGGTCGCTTCGATAAGGATGTTCGGGTGATGGTAGGCCACAATGTAAACGAGGGCACCTATTTTACGGCTCCTTACATCAACTCCACCGAAAGCCTCATCGAGGCTTTGCAAGGCACGTTCCCGTATGCCCCGGGCCCATCGATCGATTACATTACGCAAGTCCTCTACCCTCCGGTATATGACGGATCCTACGGTTACACCGACGACTTTACGCGCGCAAGTCTCATCGTCAGTGAAGCAATCTTCACTTGCAACACGAACTACCTCTCCACCGGCTTCAACAACAAGACCTATTCCTATCTCTTCGCTGTACCGCCCGGATTCCATGGCTTTGACGTTGCCTTTACCTACTATACCGGCGGAGCTATCTCAAACCTTCCGACTCAGGTGACAAACCAGACGATCGCGATCGCGCTGCAAGAGTTCATCACGAGCTTTGCGATAGAGGGCCGGCCAGAGGCGGAGGGTATACGGCAGTTCAATATGTACGGGCCAGATGCGAAGGTGCTGGAATTGAATATTACGGGGATCGATGAGGTGCGGGATAGTAATGCGGGTCCAAGGTGTAGCTGGTGGCAGAAAGCGCTGTACTCGTAGGTGGTTCTCCGAGGCACGAGCTGTGCGTGAACGAGACCTGTCCAAACGGCAGCAGGATAATGAAGATTGATGACCTTTCAACGCTGTACACACATATTCACATGGAGATGTCTGTCTAACGCTGAAGCTCGGAAACGCGGGGAAGTGACATCGCGATGGTGCGCGGAGCTTGGAGCTTGGGCCATCCACTAGCCGCATTGAGCCACGCCTGTGATGCTCGATATACGTCATGTCGAAGCACTGATCCAAAAAGCAACAGGCTCCTTTAAAGCTTTCTCCGCCCTCAGATTTCGTCGAGACAACAAGTGCCTCATCCAATTGACACCGATCCATCTCCGGAACCGCTCCTACGACCCAATCCCTTCCTTCCCACGAACTGCGAACCACATTACCAGAAATCTACACGATGTTCCGATCCCAGATCGCCCGCCAGGCCCGCCTCTTCAGCACCTCTCCCATCGTGAGGAAAAGCCCCGTCGAGACCGTCAAGGATGCGGCCAAGAAGGTCGACAGGACAGTGTCCGATGCCGCTGTGAAGGGCATCGAGAAGGGCGGTACGAACTTAACCTTTCATTTTCGTAAGAACTGACGTTAGTTTTTACTTCGTCGGATCTGCAGCTTTCATTAGATTTCCTATCTCTCTATAGCAAAAGATCACGCTACGCACGTCGAAGAGTCGTACTAACTCGGTTGAACAGAGCAAGCCGCGGCGACCATCAAGCAGAAGATGCCCGAAACCACCGGTCAAGCGAAAGGTCAGGCGAACGAGATGGCCGGTGAGGCGAAGGGCAAGGCCAGCGAACTCTCCGGCGAAGCCAAGGGCAAGGCCCAGGAGCTCAAGGGCGAGGCCAAGTCGAAGATGTAAACACAATTACCGTTCCCCGATTGATAAGGACACGAGAGGAAGAGGGATAAGTGGCGGAATCGTTTGCATGCCCAGCTGATGCTGATCAAGGGTTTGGGCTTCTTCTCTGCATTACGGATGATATGTGTTCCTGTACCAATACTCTTTCAAGTTCAGTCAGTGGTCACTTCTCAGAGACTAGAGCGATTGCGCTCTATCGAAGACATGTCGCACCTGCACGCTTCACTTCTCTTATTTCGTGACTCCTCCTTGGACCGTTGCACTGACATAATGCATTACTTCTAGGTGGCATTCATATCGGGTTCGCTGCTGTTCGCCCACATCACCGCACATTTCGACTAACTGGCAAACTCAGCTTCGCGCACCAGCCTTCAAACACTCAACACCCGTCAGACACATTCAATGCATACTGGTAGTGCACCCCTAAACTACAAAGCAACGACCCCCACACATGTCCGCACCACCTTTCAAATCCCTACCTCTAGTACACTACCCATGTAATCCAGCCACCCCCGCGGAAACACCAGAAGCGCCCACATCCCATCACAATGCCTCCATCCAGCGAGAAACCGAAGACCCCACTACCCAAGCCCGCGCCCACCAACCTCCAAGCATCCCTCGCGCAAGCCCAACTCTGCCACCACCTCTCGACCCAAATCATCAGTACGCTCCGCCCCGTTCCTAACCCCTTCCTTCATTTTCCACACTCACACGCCACCTCCTTGCAGCTATTCATTCTTCTCTTCTAACAACATCTCCTCATAGCAACAGCATGCGCACTCTACGCCGTACCGTCCGCGCGCTCCGACCTCGCCATCCTCTTCAGCAACACGCTTACCGGAACCGTCATCGCGCAGGTCGTGCTGCAGCATGCCGAAGGCACGCGCGTCCTACTAGAAGAAGAGGGTGGGAAACTGGGCAGTGATAATGCGAGGATAGAGGCATTGCAGAATTTGTTGGATGCTGTGGAGGGGCTGTGGAGTTTGCTGTGTACGGAGGCGAGGGGGAAGATGGATGGTGATAAGGAGAAGACGAAGGGGAAGGGGAAGAAGGGAGAGGCGGAGAGGAGAAATTATTTTGTTGAGCCCGCGTTGAAGGCTGAGAGGGTTAAGGGGAAGAAGTAAGGCGTGAGGGGGAGTGTAGTTGTAGTCTTGGTTAGCATATCAAGTTGTATCTGAATGGAGCGGTTGATCTGCTTTTCTCGTTTTGATGTAAATTAATGTTAGGCTGTGGTTGCGTTCTGGGGGGTGAGCTGATAGCTACCTTTTGAAAAAAAATTGCCAAAAGAAAAGCGGGCTGACAAAAAGAAAACGAAGAACGACAACGACAGGATTCGAACCTGTGCGGCCGAAGCCATATGATATCTAGTAGCGGGAGCGTTCGAGTCATACCCATTAACCACTCTGGCACGTTGTCTTATATCCTTACAAGAATTATTAATTTTTGTAAAATAAAAAATATATATCCTAATGCAAAAGCAGCGCCAAAGCGATCAAAAGGCCGTCGTGTCATTCCATGAGGGCTAGCCCGATGAATCGCGGCGGGAAAACTGCGATTGTGTGCGGGGCACGTGTCACCCTTTTTCTACAACCGAATCACCGACCTCTCGCGCAGCTAGTTCGGCAAGAGTTCGCTCGGAAGAGGCTGCAGCTTCCCGGATTACTTTTCGAGAATCGGGGCTCCGGTGGGGCGGATCTTTCTAGTGGCGTTTTAACCGATTCTGCAATTGGTTTCATGCAGGTGCATCTGACGAGAACAGCTCCCTCATCTCCCTAGAACCGCCTTTGGAGGACGTCTTGCGACGGGGAGAGCGTGCTCTACTAGGCAGGCCGGCTCGGTTCAACTTTCACCGCGAGCGTCCCGCATGTTTGCTCGCGTGCGCCGCGCCATGAGGTGTAGATGAGCGCCGCACGACGTCTTCCCGTCTCAGCAGCTCACCAGCCTCCACCATGGACACGACTGCGGTCGCGCCGAAGGGTGCGGCGCTGGCCTCACCCAAGGTCGTTAAGAACTCCAAGGGCGCTCTCGTGCCGAGCAGCCAGATGGCACACATTGCGTACGGCTGTGGTGAGTCTTCAGCGCGCTGGCAAGTTTCCGTGGTTGCGGTTGCTGACGGGAGGCGCAGAGCACATGGGGAATATGCTGGAGAATGCCCGCAAGCAGACGTTTGCGTACTATCGGGCGATCCTGCAGAATATCCACGAGAAGCCGAGCGTAATAGCCCAGACGTACAAGAACTCGCCCGACGGCCGGCCCGTTGTCTCCCTCCGCCCGCTCTACCTCTGCCTACAATGCCCGAGCATAATGACGGAGGCGGATCGGGATGAGCATATTGATTCTAAGCGGCATTGCTTCTGTGGGTTGCAAGGCACATATTAGGGATATACAAGCTGACAGGCTGTAGCCGTGGAGTCTCGAGACGGCAACATCTACTGCGGAGACTGCCAGGATTTCATCTACGACACTGATCTGGAGGCTAGGAGGCTACAGAAAGGTTGGCACACGCACACACTTGTGAGATGGAGTCCGAGGACTGACCGAGCATGATTACAGGCAAGAAGCGGAAGTTCGAAGACACCACGACCACCGACGACCACAAGCTGATCATCAACAATTCGACCTTCCTCCCCTGCCGAGCAATTGGCCTCCGCGGTCTCTACAACATGGGACAGACCTGCTTCATGAGCGTCATCCTCCAGACATTCATACACAACCCATTTATCCGGAACTTCTACCTCTCTGAAGGACACAAGACGGCGGATTGCGAGAAGGAGTCGTGCGTCAGCTGCGCTCTAGATGAGATGTTCGTCGAGTTCCATTCGGTCGAGAAGACGGAGGGCTTTGGCGCCGTCAACATGCTCATGGGTAGTTGGCTGGCTGGAGAGGTGCGCACACCAGGCTGACTGCGGAGGATGCTCACATGCTAATTCTTGCTACCTAGGCCCTGGCAGGATACCAGCAGCAAGATGCGCACGAATACATGCAATTCATGCTGAATACCCTTCACCTCCAGAACGGCGGTTCGACCGACTCCGACGATTGCACGTGCGTGGTCCACCAGACCTTCTACGGCCAGCTCTCAAGCACGGTTACCTGCGATAATTGCCGGAATACAACCACGGCCCTAGATCCATACATGGACCTGAGTCTCGACGTGCGGACTCTGCCCAAGAAACGGAAACTAGATACAGGCGGTGGAGACGACGCTCAGCTGGATCTGCGGGATTGCCTGGACAGATTTACAGGGAGGGAGACGCTGGGGCAAGCTGAATATACTTGCCGGAACTGCGATAGTGGCCAGAATGCCACAAAGCAGCTGAGGATAAAGCGGCTGCCGCCGGTTCTCCCTATCCACCTAAAGGTACGCTTCCCCTCCGTTCTGGGGTGTGAATTGTGCTAACGTGTGGCAGCGCTTCGAGCACTCCAAAGCCACCTCCTCGAAAATCGAGACCCGCGTCAGCTTCCCGATGAAGCTCGACCTCTACCCCTACACCGCACAATACCGATCCACCCAGACCAAAGCTTCAAAAGCCTCCGGGCCGCCGAACACCACCCACAACATGAACACACCGCAGAACAGCCTCTTCTACGAGCTGTCAGCCGTCATCGTACATAAGGGCAAGATCGACTCCGGCCACTACGTTAGCTACTCCCGAGAGGGCAACGACTGGTTTCTGTTCGACGACAGCAAGGTGGTGCTCGTTAGCGAGGCGGAAGTCCTCAGTGCGGAGGCATACCTGCTGTTCTACATGGTCAGTGGTCTGGAAGTGTGAGTTTCTGCGGCCACCTACCCTTCCGTTTTGTCTTTTGTGTATGAACTGTTATTCACTGTTTCTCTTTACTACGGTCGCGAAGACGTGAGCATTGCCATTGCTCAACGGATCTCCGCGGAGCAACATGATTGGGCTGTATATTACATGGCCTCAGGAGATGTTGAGGCTGTCTTCGGATGCATTTCTTGGCGTTTTCGTCTTCTTGGCCCGGGCTGGAGGCACAACATACCACACCTTTTTTTTTCCTGTACTGCAAAAGCAGCGGCATGGGCGTTTTGGCATAGTCACCGTACATCGAATGCGGTTGGGGAAAGATATCAGGGACGGGATTGGGCTCCGTTCGCAGGCACTTTTCGCAAGCGCGAGCTGGAGATTTGGTAATTGCTCCATATAGAATTACATATGGGAAGCGCGATTTCTTCTTTCTCGGAACACCACGTCCCGCACAGATACATATTGTGATTGTGATTCTGATTCCGATTCCGGCAGCGTCGTCTGCGGCCCGTCTTTGGTGCGAAGTAGGTGCGGGTAAGCATCCCATCCCGCCGCCGGGAAGGGTCCGTGCGTCAAAAGTTCCCGTCCCGTTATCGTTCAGCTGCCGCAGTACGTCGCGATGCGCCAACTTCCTTTCTACGCGTTGCTGTCTCTGGCTCGAGGCTTTTGGGGCATTGCTCTTCGCAGTTCCGCGTTGAACCGCGTCGGTCGTTGGAAGGGGATCATAGGAGCGGTATCCGTTCCATGCCGGCCGGAGTATGCGCTCAAAGCTATGTCTCACGATGCAGCGCTCTGTGTCTGATATCCTGAGAGGAACTTGGGAAATGTAATTGCTTGGGTATTGTACGCTCTGTTTGCAAGTCCTTAATAAAAAACACAGATCTAACCTCCCCACAGAAAAAACGCCGCAGGAACTCGCCGTCTGAAATCCACCGTACATCGGGGGATATCTTCAGAAAAGAGGGGGGAAACGCCTATACCATGCAAATACGGCATCGTCTACCATCATCGCTCTGATGCTAAATCGACCGGGTCGAAGCACTGGCAGTCCTCGATGCTGCCACCCCCTCTGGTTCCGCTCAGCAGCGTTGGACATTTCCAGGCGACGTCCATGTCGTTGCACTGGAAGAGCAGATTCCACATGCGCTCCATGGTGTATCCGAAGACGGGCGCGCTCATGGAGTCGGGCCGGCCCTGCAGGTATTCCTCCTTGTGTGCCCAGCTCTCCTTGTTTACGAAGGCTTCGCGGAGGTCCTGGTACACCGAGGTATCGACGCCACGGATGCGCTTCGCGGACGCGACGAACTGGCCCTTGAAGCTCAGGAGGACCTTGTCGCATGCGGTCGCGTTGTCGTTGATGCGGCTGTGGATTTGGGGGAAGAGATGCGTGGTGTCTTGCCAGGACCAGCGGTCGCCGCAGTCCTCGCAGTTGCAGACTTGGCCGGCCCAGCCCAGGCTCAGAAAGCCGGTTCGCTGGGGGTCGAAGTAGTCGCGGATTCGGGGGTAGAACTCTCGCGGGTTGTGGACGTCGGCTTGGAGGAAGACGGTGTGTGCTGCGAGGGTGTTCCAGTTTTGCAGGATGTGGTAGAGGTATGTCTCGCCCTCTCGCCCTATATTAGGAAGAGTCGTTATGTTAGTCGCTCCGGTGCGTTGTTGGATCGCTTCGGTGTCGGATTCGCTGTCTTTGATGTAGATGTGCACATCGGCGTCTGCCAGGTGGGGCATGGCTTTCAGTGAGTTGATGAGATGGGCGACGTCGTCGATCGGTTCTTTGTACATGCTGATGACGAGTTCCGCAGGAGTCGTTGCGCTATAACCGGCGTCTAGGGTCGTAGTTGCTCGGACGATTTTCTGGTGCACGCGGTCCGAGAAATTGAGAACTGCCCATGCCGACCAAAAAAAGGGCACGACCGCGGAAACGAAGAGACCGCGTAGGACAATGTTGCTGCGACGTCCGCTAATATCAGCAACGCGGGTGTCGTCTGATCGTTCCGAGACGGCAGTCTCCTCGCTGTCCATGGAGCGCAGTTCGGAGGATTCCTGCAGCAATTTGTATGCTTTGTCGTCTTTCCGTCGCCTACCGTTGAGAGAATCGATTGCGGCCTTGCCGCCGATGCACGCGACCGCTAGCAAGAAGCACCAGTATTGCGCCCACGAGGTGTATGAGCGACGAAGCATGAGATTCGAGATGAATCCTGCCACCCCGGCCATGGTCAGCAGGGTCAGTGTGTCGCGATTGCGAAGTTCGTTCTGAGGGTCGCGCGGGTCGGTTCCTGCGTCATCAATCGGAAACAGAATGGACTTCCCCAGAAGCATGGCCACTGCTGTAGACAGCGCGTTTACGACAGTCAGTGGCAAGTACTTCATTTGGAGAGCAGAGATGAATTGCGGCCAAGACTCATCCGAGCGGGCGACGGACATGGTAACGGTGAGGACCAGCCCAGTACAACAGAGGAGTGTGTTCATTTTCCTGGAGTCGGATCCTGCGTTGGGAGCGGAGGCCGCCACTACAGTGTGCACCGCTCTAGCAACGCCGGCCAGAAGCACCGCTGGAATGGACGTGAGCAGGCCGCTGACTTCCAACCTGTACTCGGCTATGAGGATGCCAGCGCAAGCAAAGGGTAGGAGGCCAGCACGCAGGATCTCTGCCCACGATCGTAGACCGTAGCCACTGAGGAGGAGCACCCAAGCTTCGGCGCCATAGGATACCGTCTTCCAAGGGTCAGTGTAATCGACGCGAGGATGTATGAGGAACACTCACCGATAGCATGACCAGCGTCGGCACATTCTGGAGGTGTAGGAGTGCTTGGAGGGTGAAGACTGTGGCCAGTGCCATCAAGGCTGCCTGTACGATGAGTGCGAACCATCCCAGTATCGTTGGTCGCTCTGAGCGGGCACAGAAGGGTCGCGCAGGTCGCGGTAAAAAGACGGACACGGCTGCGAAAATGCCAGCGGTGACCAAGTGGAGGATGTGCAGGTGAAGAGGGAAGTGGACGTTCAGCTCCACCAGGAGGTACCTCGAACTGAAGAGCGACACAAGGGCGACCGCAGTCCAGATACATCGCCGCCATCTTGGAATCCATGCTTGTATGTCCCTAATCCAGGACCGCGAAGCCGCTCGTTTGAGGTTGCCGATGTCGTCCATGGTTGAAAATGTTCGATTTTGCGGTTCGGTGATGTTATTGTAGGGGGAAGGAGCGATGGTGATGAGGCTGGAGCACGCAATGAGTGGGTCACCAGCAGGATTGAGATTGCATCCTTTCGCTTCGCCGTGCAACTGACGCCCAAGCCAGAGAAGAGGAGGATGCAGCAAGACGTCAAGAGTGAAAAAAGCGAGCAGCGGTGAGATCGCCGCTCTTTTGTTCGGTCATGGCCTTGTGCGCGTGCTTTTCCTCCGGGCAGCGCAAACGCCCCAACACGATGGGCCACAGGCCACATCACAGCCATCCTCCAGGCTGCAATCCCGTCCTTCACTTCAGTCGTACAGTCGAGGCGAGCATCTAGGAGCCAAACGCGCCAAGAGTGCACCGAAACCCTGCGCCACTGGGAAGTCACTCTCATTGGCATTCACGGCCCGAGCACAGTTCTCAGCGCATGGGGCACGGGCAATACATGCCGGGCAAAGAGCGCGCGCGCCTCCCTCGGAATAGAGGACGTTGCGGCTACGGTGTTCGCTGCTATGTAAATACCCGAGGCCGTGGATGTGCAAAAGCGGGTGTGGAGTTTTGATTGGGTGCTGACATCAGGTGTTAGGGGTTCCAAGGCCAGAAGGAGCTGGCTATGCAACACAGTAAGGCATATATACGCCCCGTTCCCCCTGCGGCACGGACAGACGGCTATGCTCGCGACCGGCGATCGAAGTATCCGCAGCCTCATCATCCTTCGTGCTCTTAAGTCGAAGCATTTCCACGGTATCGCGTTCTTCGCCTATCCGGGCTTAGCCCGATGCGTTTCCGTCCTAGATGAATCTTTCGACAGCTCTTTCCAAGGTTATTCACACGAGTATCTCGGGTAGACCCTCCAGTAGCAGGTCACTTCAACGCCGTAGGGCTGGCAAGCATAGAGCCCGGAAAATTTCCCCAACGAGATTAGCGCGACGCCTTCCCGTACGCGAGGAGTCTCCAGATCCACAATTCGAGCAAATTTTGCGACCCCCAAGAAGAATTCCATGGATTTAAATTACCGGTGGCCTTGCCAAGACCATCCGCCGTGTATTCTGCACGTTGTCCGGATAGAATCACTTCAGGCATCCCGATTAGCGATCCTTACCCGCCTGATTGCCCCATTTGGTAGGCTATGCGCTTCGAAAGCCTAATCCTACGACGCCCGTTGCAGGCCGCCGCAGTCGCGAAGATCAGGCAGACTCAATATACTATACCTACAACGATAAGAAGATCTGCTTGCGACAAGATAATCCCGGTCACTTTTGGTAGGGGTGAGGACAGCGACCAATTCAAAGAGCAAGGGTAAAACGGAACACCACGCCAGATCATCGTGGCTGCTGTTCACCGGTGTACCCTTATGTATACTCAGGTCCTACCATGCTGTGGGGACAATCAGACCATGGATGAGCTATAATTCGTCGCTGGGAGTGGATCGCTACGTCGAGGAGGTCTACGCCTCATCCTTCGCCAAGTCCTCCTCGTGTCCTTTCGCTTGAGAGCGGCGCGCATCACAACTCCAGACCAGATAAATTTTGTAATGGCTTCGCTCATACATATGTAGCACAAGCGCTATTGCCTAGCAGGAAGGCTTGGTGATGCGGGTGAGGCGCCGTTGCATGGGGCGTTTGCTTATCCCATCTCGTTTACGCATGTTTTTATCCGTGCAAGTATGCATACAGTACATTACAGGATCGTCATTTCGTTGCTGATATTCTTCAAATAGACTCCCTTATTTTGTGGGCGCATACCTCCTGCAATATGCTTCGAATGGGATAAACTTTTGCCACAAGCCAGGAAATTTTCAGAGAGAGAGGGTCGATGACATTCATACTATCGATATACATCGCTGGCTGAATGAATCCTCCCGCAAAAGTCATAACGGGTCACTTGTATCGCTTGACCGCTCTCTGAGAGCCGTAGATCCGCAACCACTTTCGCGCCGCACAACCAGTCTTCCAAAACCGTTCATGCAGCCAGTTGACCTGACCGACACCAGTCGTCGGAGCTACTCTGCTCCACTCTTTCTCGACTTGTACTTGCGTTGCTGTTCGGCCAGCCAGACCGCGTCCTTGCCTTTCAGCAATTCAGCTTCCATCTGGAGGATCTCATTCTGTCGATCCTGCAGTGTTGCCACCTCCGTGTCGATCTTGTCGAGTAGTTTCTGTCGCTTTTGCAAGCTCTTCTCTTCGCGTTCCCTCCTCTCCTCCAACCGTAGCCAAACTTCGTATTGCTCTTCATCCTCGTCAACCTCCACTCGCCGCTTACCGTTACGGTTTATAAGGGCCGGTACCGGGGTCACGACCAAGCGACTTAGTTCGCGGTCGAGCCGGAAGGGAGCCTGGCGATTCGGGGATGCTCGCTCGGGCGATGCGGCACGAGGAGCTTGCTGCTCGCGAGTCTGGACGCGGCTTGGGAAGATGCTGGGCGATATCATATCAGGCACGCGTGCTGCACCTAATGTAAGCATCAGTTAAGCAGGATGAGTGAGTCGGGGATGGCTAGGAACATACCACCTTGGCCCTGGTAGTTGGCGTACACGTCTCGGATGACCGACTTCAGCGTCTTTATGGCGTCTGTCGCGAAGGGCGAGTCGATATACCGGGCACAACGGTAAATATACCGGATCAGAACGGTGAGTTTCTTCTTCGTGTTCTGCGTGTTCTCCCCGAAGACGCGGAATGGATACACAAGGGGCAGCGTGCTGACGTCCTTGACCACGGACATCCTTCCGGCCGCGATATCGTACTCCAAGAACTCTACCTCCTCCGGCTTGTCATTGAAGAGCTTGATGCGCGCCCACGCCTGGACCGTCGCGCTGGCGTCCTCGCCAAGGAAGAGTGTCTTGTGGTGCCGTCTACCTCGCAGGCTTGGACCGGTTTCATCAAAATCATAGTCTGATGTTGGCGGAAAGTCCTGCACCATGGCCCAAAGGCCGGCTTCTTGCTGGATGGCGTCGCTGATCTCCTGAAGGTTATGCGGGACATCGACGTCCGAAGCAGGCGTGGGCGCACGCGCGCCGCCTATGATGGAGTCAGTGGAGCTCTCAGGGCAGAGGGGCGGCGCGGGGAGCGTACCGGTGTCGTCGTCAGTGCCCTCAACCGTGGGTAGGATCCTTGCTTCTGAAGGCAATGGCCCAGCGCGCGACGAGGAGGCTTTGGCTGTATCGCGGGAATTAGTACCTGGAGGTGCGTACAAGACAGTAGTGTCGACATACCAGTGACTCGACCACCAGCAGGGTCGCGCGTCGCTGCTCTCGTCGTGCTGCGAGCCTCACGCTCATCGTTGACCCGACGTCCTGCGAGGTAGCGAGGGTTCCTTCCTGGGGCGCTCATTTTGTGCGGACGGCTGTGCAATGCTTGTGGGGTCCTTTTACTGGTGTAGAAGAAGAGCCTGGAGGGCTTGCGGATGGTCTTCAAGAAAAGCTGGGAGAAGCGTCGGAGTCGGGGTCGATGGAGTCTGGGAGGTGGAGTGGATGAAGTCTTGAAGTGGGAGTCGAACGAAGGCTTAGCGCGGGGCTCTGGGGAAGGCTTGTTGACTTCTTGAAGTAGGGCTTGGTCTAAGGGCCGAAGCAAGGCTTGAGGAAGGACTTGAGGTAAGGCTTGGTCAATGGCTGGAGCAAGTCTTGCAGCAAGTCTTGAGAGAAGGCTTGGTCAAAGGCTTGGAGCAAGACTTGCGGGAAGGCTTGCGGGAAGGCTCGCAACAAGGCTTTCAATAAGACTTGGAGGGGCCCTTCTGTGCGCTCGGAGAAACCCCAGCCCCGAGGAGGTGAAGTGAAAGTCGACACCGCCACTTCGCACCGACACCCGTGCACTTTCCATCTGCCACGCTGTGTTCGACTAGGAGGAGAAAATCTCATACCGACGCTCCGGAATTCTGAGCCCCCCGCACCCTTGGAGTGCGTGGAGGGTTAGGGCAGTCTTTCACGCGGCCATACCGGGAAGTATACGACTTGCCTGGTTCCGTCCAAAGGGAAGGGTAGATCATCCGGACACGACGGAGCCAGGTTACTATGGGGAGGGAATTCCAGGGGACAAAATCGAAGGGGGAGTGTTCGCTCAGATAGGGGTTGGCCGTCATTAATGGGACTGCTCGGGCGCTTAGCTCCCTACTTCAGCATCAGTGAGCGTTCGCCAGAGACCTTGTGGCTGTGGAAATGCTGCTAGAAGGGTCCTTTCAGTTAATGCATACCTAGATACCTTCGGCGTGACGTCCAGCGCTCCACCAAAACCCTCTCCTTGCGGTTGAGAATTCTCCGGACCGAGCCCTCGGCGTGTACAGATGGGAAGTTGGGGATGTGCTTTCGAGGCATCGCGGAGACCCGCTGTGGCAGTATCGAGCGAGGGGCTGCAGAGAGAAAAGGCCATAGAAGTATTCGAACACAGTGTTCAGTCCTGCGGTGTGCGTTTCTTGTTCGTTTCCTTCTCCATGTCGGGAGCGGTCGTTCGTTTTCGATTTCAAGGGAGATCCTGCCATGCTAGGTGGCTTCGTCGTTTTTGGGAGCGCGAAGGAGTGCGAGCAGAGTGTAATATCGGGGAAGGAGCAGAGGTTGGGGGTGATTTATATACCACGACCAGTCGCTGGAGGAACGTAAGGGGGCCTGGTCGAGCGAGCGCAGAGACTCAGCGTTGCAGACGTACTGAGCGAGGCTTTTCTGGCAGACGAGTCCATTGGGAAGTTCTGCTGGTGTCTTAGTCTTGCTTTCCGGGCACATATTTTCCCTCTTATTCTTTGGACGGGTCCATGCATGAATGGGACCATGTTTTGGTCCCGCGGGGGCGCTCCACACATGAATTTCTTGCTGATGGTTTTAATGCGCTCGAAGACGCGAGTGCAGCGCAGTGTAGTGTAGAAGAAGTTCACGAGGGGAAGAGGTTTATATGCTCTTCCGCTGCTGAAAGGCATGGTACTAACGGCATGCGCTTTCGACGCATTGCGGAGACTTGTCGACAAAAGCCGTAATCGATGGTCTTCAAGAAGCTTTCGTATGGGACCTGGATTTGGAGTTTCCGGTTCTGTTTTGCACTTAGGGAGATATGGCGGTACGACCTTGCTCCATGGGTACGCCGCCTGGATCTTTTAGTGCCCCTGGCAGTCCTCCACATGAGCCTTTTCGATCATCATTTTAGGGCCAGAGGGACGCGAGAAGCGTGATGTAGAAGGATGAGGATGAGGAGAATGAAGTATTTATATACGCTTCCCGGCACCTGGCCTCATGAGAGTGTTGGGGATAGGCTTTCGAGCGTATCGCGAAGGTCCATGGAAGTTTAGTCGCAGTACTAGGGTTCTCCGAGGAGAAGCCTGCGTGGAGCAGCTTGATGATCAGTTTTAGTTCTGCTTCGCCATTGTAAAGAATCCTCAGGCCCTCCAGACATCTCGGGAGAGGACATATATTTTTCGTGCTCCGATAGTTCTCCACATATCTATCTTGTCCGTTATTTTTAGTGTTTTCGGGATGCAAGAAGTACGCAATGGAATGGGAAAAGGAGGCAAGCCGAACGGCTTATATATGTTCCCCTCTCCCACATGCCAAGGATCGTGTAGGGTCACGGGCATCGAGAGCCCATAATAAACATGTTTATTCCATACACGCGCAAGGAGGGGCACCAGTGCGAATAGCGATTCCGTAGCTCGACGCCCTGGAATTTGGCCATGTATACGCCATTCGGCCCTTTTAGACATATCCTGAACCAGCGCGCTTTTGGAAACCTCGTAACTTTTCGCGTGAAAGAAGCGCGCTTGGAATCTTGACCACCGCCGACTCCTCCGCATGGAGGCAGTCCTCTGTAAGTTTTAGTGCGCAATGCAAAGGGAGTGAGAAGGTGTGGAGGAGGGAACGGAGTGGGAGAGCGAAGAAATTTATATAGGCTCGCAAAGACGCATGTACAGCACTATAGTCCAGTCAAGAACACTCCGAGCCGTCCGGAGATACTTTACTCGATATCGAAGCAAGAAAGACGTGACCGCACCATAACGAAAGAACGAGCTAAGACGGGGTGAGTGACCATGGTGCTGGCTTGAAATTACATTCCAGGAGATAACCTAAACCTAACAAGATATGAGGTCTAAACTCCTGTCCTTCTAGGCACTGATCCCTTCATTTCCTTCGCTCTCAAGACGGGGCTTCCGCCAGTGTCCGATGGGTGTCCTTCCAGAACAAACAATCAAAGACAGCCACTGACAAAGACCACCACCCCGGGAGCCGTAAAATCCATAGAATCATTCGGTTGGGATGTAACCGTGGAGAAAAACGTCTGTAGCGCTGAGGGTTGGCTGTCCCAGCATTACTGCCCTGACTTCCCACTGGGTAAGATGCAATAAGGACTCCATAGCTTTCTCTAAGCTCCGATGCGGCAGCCCTTCTAGCTTCACGCGTCTCGAGATATCTGATGTGCATTTCCAGATCGAAGTTCTGTAACCGGTACCGTCCCATGTGATGCGGGTCACGACCATGCAGGCTGGTCCGTACAAGGCGAGTGCATTGTCTGATTAGATTAGCTTCCACGCAGGGGCACCTAGGGGGCATAGTGAACAGCGTACCTTGAATGAGACCCTTCATAGCGATGGTCCGCTGAAGCTGCCGTGTGCTGCCGGGTAACATCGTAGGCCCGGAGTTTGATAGCTGAAGTATCTGCAGGTGTTGGGCAAATGTAGGAATTCTTTGATAGACATCCAGAATGGGGAATATTCCGGGTCGGCAGCGCGATATTATAGTATTGAGAAGGAGTAGTTCAACAAAGCTATAGATCCTCCGCCAGGTGGCTGAGGCGTTGGCGAAGCAAACGTCCGGTGCCCTCAGGATAGGCCTTTGGGAGGGAAGCTTGATTCCCGTTTGTTGCCATCTTTCGCGATTCTGGCAAATTTGAGCGTGGCAAGGCTCGACCATTGTCCGTTCCAGTCCTTGAGTTTCTTCAGATTGTCGAAATCATCTAGGTCTGGTACCCAGAATCCAGATGCGTATTCGCCTTGCTCAGTGGCTTGCGCCTGCTTCAACAGTGTTTCGCGGGTGTTTGGTGGTCGTCCCGGACGTCGCTCAGCCTTCAGAGTCGCTAGCTCTTCGTCGTCCCGCCCAAGGTAGTCCTCGATCATGTGTTGAATGTCGGAGACGGTGAGGGGGGATTCATGCTCCGTGGTATAAGACTGGAAGGACTTGGTCCGAAGCACTGAAAACATGTTAACATCTGAAAGGACAGGACTTGGAACATAGCGGGTCCTTACAGTAAGGTCGATTCTGCTTTTCCCTGACTGCCGCCAGCCGATTGAGCTTGTCATCTCTCTGTGCTGCGCTCTGTAGACGACGATTGTCGCGACTGTTTTCGTGCAAAGTAGGGTTCTTCCCCTTCTTCTTAGTAATGTGCTTCTGCACCTTGTTGAGGCGGTTGCTGGGCATCGTGAACTCGGCGTGAAGGAAGAATGATGATGGATTTCGTAGGGTTGGCCAGAAATTTTTGGTGGGGAACATCATCGGTCCCCACAGTTTGGACGGCGCTAGGCTTGATCTGTTGCTAGCGCGAGCGCGTCCTCGCTTCACGCGTCGCTTGGGGGGAATGCCTCACAGCTATCGAGAGCCTTACTTGGTCACTGACCACTCGCGCGCATATCCTCCCCGGCGACTGACCCAAAGGCCTCTTCTTCTACCTGCATCGAGACTGAAAGCTCGACATGACACAATAACAGACCCAAAGAAGCCATTGTTTTGGGGTTGACGCGTGAACGGCAAAGCTGTTGAAATGGGAATCTCGGGTGCGCATATCGCCGCAATCGCGTGTTATGGGCTAACTTTGGGCAGGACTACTCCCGTTGCTCAAATCAATTCACAAGCCATGCAACCTCAAGAAGTTTTCCGGCCAGACCATTGGCGTGGATGCCTATGGCTGGCTCCATCGGGGCACGGCCGCGTGCGCCATTGATCTGGCCCTTGACAAGCCGACGACCAAGTACGGGCGATATAGTTCTCTTCTTCATCAATTGCTTACAGATACCCAGATATGTCGACTTCGCTATGAACCGTGTCCGAATGCTCGTCCACTTCGGCATAATCCCGTACCTCGTCTTCGACGGAGACTACCTACCCAGCAAAGCAGGTACGGAGAAAGAGAGAGCGGAGCGACGGAGGGAGAGCAAGAGACTAGGTCTAGAGCTACTAAGGGTCGGCAAGACATCGCAGGCTCATCTCGAGCTACAGAAGGCCGTCGACGTCACACCAGAGATGGCCCGCATGCTGATCGAGGAGCTGAAGCGCCACAACATTCAGTACATAGTGGCCCCGTACGAAGCCGACTCACAGTTAGCGTACCTGGAGCGCAAGGGCGTCATAAACGGCATACTATCTGAAGATTCGGACCTTCTGGTGTTCGGCGCGAAATGTCTCATCACGAAGCTGGACAAGTACGGCGAGTGCGTGGAGATCAACCGCAACCATTTCACGGCTTGCAGAGAGATAAGTTTGGTGGGTTGGACAGACGCAGACTTCAGGCGAATGGCTATGCTGAGCGGCTGCGACTACCTCCCTGGCATTGGCAACATGGGCCTAAAGACGGCTTACCGAATGTTGCGAAAGCACAAAACCACCGAGCGACTCCTCAAGGCTGCGCAGTTTGATGGGAAATTCAAGGTCCCTCCAGGGTATATCGACGCATTCTATCAAGCAGAGAAGACCTTCCTCTATCAATGGGTCTTCTGTCCCCTTTTAAATCAGCTGGTCAACTTGACGGCTCTGGATGCTGACGAGGATATTGCCGAAATCCCATTCATCGGGGAGGAGGTGCCTTCGCACGTTGCTATTGGCGTCGCCCGAGGAGATCTGCATCCGCACACGAAGAAACCTATTATGGTTGAGGCAAAGGCGCAATCGAACTTCAAGCCCCTGAGGCCCTCAAGGACCGTTTCATCGAACGTCCAGACGCCGGATCTAAAGCAGTCGAAGCCCATTGATTCTTTCTTCAAGCCGAAGCGCATGCCTCTCGCTGAATTAGACCCGAATAGCTTCACACCGTCACCGAGTCAGCAGTCACTGTTGCAGCAACAGCAGAACAGTGCCGGCTGGGAAGCAGTTCCTGCCCCGCAATCCCTCTCACAACAACGGTCGGCTCATGCAAGGACCGCGCCTCAGCCTGCGAGACGGGCGATCTCTGATTCGATCACAGCGCGACAGTCTGCTCCAAACCCCTCAAAGAGGCAACGGTTATGCTCAGACTCAGCTTTTGATACCCCGGAAATGGGCAATAATGGAATCACGCGAAGCCGATTCTTCGCTGATTCTGTACCGGATCCGAGCCCATCGCTCCGCACAAACAGGAAGCATAGGAAGAAGTCGGTGCAGGACTTTGAGCTGTATTCGGATGATTCTATCGGAGAGGCTTTGGCAGAGATTGTCGACTTGGAGGAAGTTGTCTCGCAACCCAAGAAGAAGCTGAAGATCTTCAAAGACGATTTTCGATGCAGCATGACCAGCGACTCGCAGTCGACGGCCGCCTCAAGAAGTAGCACAGAGCAGTCGGCACAATCGCAAGACTCTGGCATCCTTACACCTGCTTCCTCGCACGTCAGCCCAGAGCCGGAGACCTTGTTCAGCGCGGCACTGTCCAAGCAAGTCCATCAAGACCTTCGCTCGAGGTTCTCTTACAGCTCGAAGGCTATGTCGTCGTCCGCTGTGTCAGACACTGCGAATCTAAATCCTAATCGTCCTCCGGCACTATCTAAGCGCGTGTCATCTGTCGGCAGACCTGCATCAGTAGCAAACGAATCACGGCAAGCATTACCGGAGGCAGCACCCTCGAATGAATCATTACCTGAAACGCACGACGATCTTATTGAAGACTCGGCGTGGGCGGCTCTGGAAGCTGAAGTGGTAGTTGCAGCAAGCAGCCCACCACCTGAGCCGACCATAATGAAACCGAGAGAAGCGAAGGGGAGTGAGGATCTGCTCGTGCCTGACAGCGATGCAGAAAGCACTTGTTCGCCACGCAAACCATTGTTGAGCCTCGGACGGTTTGCGTTCTTTGGTTAGTCTTAGCGTTGTATCTATCTGGCGCATCTTTATTTGGACATTTAGGAGTTGTATGGCGGCCGAAAGGGGCGATATTCTATCAGCGTTCCTGCGGCGGTTGTTATTTCACGAAGCGCATATTATTGATGCGTTGCAGCACATTGGCGCTATAGGAGCGCGCACTGATGCTTTAGGAAAGCGTTTGCGCAATGGTCTTTCTTGTCAGCATACGATCAATACCCATTCATGTTTCTTCTTCAGCCGGCCCGTCGCTGTGCATTACGACTGGACGAGCCATGTTCAAGCACTCTAGGCTGGGTTTTCGTATCGCGAGACCGTTGGGAAGGATGGGGTTCCGCTTCCCGGGGTCGCGTACGGTTCCGGAGGGAAGGCGAGACATCCTCATTCCAGAGTCTCATTCCTCCGTCTCCCAGCACCACCGTCAACTGACAAGTCCATACCGCCACATGACTTTTCCACGCCCCTGGGGCCCCGCGAGACCCTGACATTGCACTGCGACGCCTATCAAAGCCACTGTCACAGCCATGTGGCTCACCAGCGCTCACAAAGAAAGCGCACAATACAGCGCCGACCTGACGCACTGCGCCCTCTCGTCCCGTCCAGAAGAGCCAATGAGACAAAGAAGCCTCGTCCACCCTCTCTCGCTCGCAATGCTTAGTCGTTTTCACTTCACGTCCCTTTGTTCGCGGCGTCTCTGTAGCTCGCACTTTCCGCATCCGGTCATGAGATGGATTCTGCTGGGTATTTAACGCGGGGGGTCCTTGGACGAATGGAGTGAAGTCTTCTGGTTTCTTTTATCGACCCGTCAATTGGATTCCGAGGCCATTCAGTCTTTGAGCTCCAGCCGCCCGTCCTACTAGTCGCAATCGTCTTTCGTCGGTCCGCATCGCCACTAAGCGACATTCATCTATTAGACTACCCTTTCCGCCCATAAACTAGAAGTCTCTACTCAGCTCACTCCACGGTTCAAAATGGCTCCCAAGAGAGCCGCTCCCGCGCCTACGGCTGCGAAGTATGATCGCGTGAGTAGCCCGTTCTCCCATTTCTGATCCTTGCATCATCCGCTAATGTATGATTATAGAGCCGAACTGGGACTTCGCTCCGCGCCAAGGCGGGCTTGGATTCGTACAAGGAAACCGATATCAGCGAGCACCTCGCGGCTCAAGAGGTAGCCAAAGCCGCGGAGGCTAGCAAGCCGACTCGGAAGCGCTCGACGAAGAAAGCTGCGGCGAAGAAGCCAGCAACGACGAAGAAAACCACCAAGAAAGCAGCGGCACCTAAGAAAGCAGCGGCACCTAAGAAAGCAGCAGCACCCAAGAAAGCAGCGGCCCCCAAAAAGGCAGCAGCCCCCAAAAAAGCAGCAGCACCCAAGAAGCCCGCAGAGAAGAAAGTAACATCCGGCCGCGTCACGAAGAAAAAGTCGCCCGCGAAGAAAGCATCGGCCAAGTCCACCGGGCGCTCTTCCTCTCTCTCCGAACCACCTTCTTCCTCGAAGCTCAAGACGCCAACTTCAACAATTACGGTCAAGAGCCCCGTCAAATCAGCGGCTTCTCCAAAGACGGCCTCCGCCACTAAGTCGGCGAGCTCGAAGAAGAATAGCGCTCCTAAGTCGGCTTCTTCTGGGAAGACTACTAAGTCTGCTGCTACTACTCCGAAAGCGAACACGGGGAGTAGGCGCGCTAAGGGAAAGAAGTATCAGGCGTATGTCGAGTCGGCGTCGTCGCACTCTAGGAGTGCCTCTGGGGGTGCGAAGGGGAGTTCTGGAGGACGGTTTCTGCCTTATTAGGGTATGAGGGGTTGGGCTGAGTTGGGTTGGGTTGATCTCGGCTGGTATATGTTGGGGATGCCCTCCTGCGTAATGGATGGTGTTGGTTTGGTGTTGGGTTGGGAAGGGGTTTTTCAGTTGAGCTTTGCGATGGAATTGAAATGTTGTATCTCCAAGAATTGATTTAGGGCCGTCCTAAATCCCGCTGTCCTCCCATCATCATCATCTTAGTTCCTATTTCCTTTGAGTCGCAGAGCGCCCCGATGGCCAGCTATCACCCATATGAATCCCTCCACCAGTGGGTTTCGCCAGCGATCTTGTGACTTTGGAAATGCTGTTAGAAGGTTTCCTTTCAATCAAGCATGCTTTCGGCGTGACGTCCAGCGCTCCAGCAAACCCCCCTCTTGCGGCTATTGTACGCACCTGCGAAGGCCTCTAGGGTGGCTGTTGCGTGCGTCGTTATATCCTGAGATTTCCACACCGTCAGGCAGTTGATGTCCGACGCTCGAGTTTTACTCGTTCCTCAACGTGCGCGCGTCGTCCCACTCGGTGCTCGCGCTTGCACTCGCACTCGCCGCATCGGTTCCGCCAGCCGCTCCCACTGCCTCCCCCTCCGTCCGCACAAACACAGCGCCGGGCCGCAACCCGCCTGCCCACACGTCAGCATCCAGCCTCCAAACTCCCCACTGCAAATGGCTCCCGGTAGTTCGCGCGCCGGAAACACAGATAGCCCGCAGAGAAGAAAGCAAGATCACACTTACGCAGCTTCATCACCACCTCCCTAGCCATATCCTCATGCAGCTTCTTCATCGACACGCCCGACACGACGCCATCCGCTACACGAACAATCTCGCCTTGCGTTGACCCGGACGACGAGGCCGAGTACGCGATCAGGGCGACTTTGATGGCCGGAGAGCCGATGACGTCGTAGGTGCGGTGCGGGCCGTAGAGCGCTTTGGCGTTCGCGATGATGGATTGCCGGTAGAAGAGGAAGTCTTCGGGGTCTTTGCCCATGGTGGTGGGTGGGTGGGTGGATTAAGGGGAGAAGGGAGATGGAGTGGGGCTTTGGGTAGGGTAGGGTAGGTTAGGTTAGGTTATGTGTGGTATTCAGGACGAAGGATGAGGCTGTGCAGGTCTGATCTGCGGATATTGAAACATCAACCTCTTATGCGTCTTTTCTTTATGTTAGGATCCTCTTAGGAGACGATCTTGATCCAGTGAGTGCTGAAGACTGTAGAGCTCGAGTGGCTTCAGCGTCAGCAGGGATGTTGCCCAAAGGTATCCCCTTCTGGTCTAGGCCGGACTCTGCACCTGGGCACCGTTTAGCTTGTCCAAGCCACTTTCCAACCTCTCTGCGTTTATCTCTTCCTACGGGCTCCCCTCCAGCTCTAAACGATTGATCCCGTAATGCGAATTCTAATTATCTGGCGCGCTGTATAAGCAGCACCCGAAGTGGACCAACTTGGAACCCTGTACAACTTACTGGTCCCTGCAGGAGAACGTTTTAGCCATCTCTGGCAGCCTCTCGCCTGGCTTATCGAAGAGCCCGAGATGCCAGCACCCTGTTCTTCATGTCTGTACCGCGTTCTAGGCTGCCTTGAGTCGCGTCTATCCCCATCGAAATGGAGCTCTGGGCGGCGGTGAGTCGTCTCCACGGTCCGCCGACTAACAACCAGACATGGCCCCCAACGCCCACACAACCGCTCTCGCACGATTGCACGTCTTCCAATCCGGGCTAGCTCCTCACTCTACTTGATCCTGTCGTGGTACCGTGCCACATCGCCGGGCGTAAGCACCCCGGATTCAGTCTGTATAACTTTCAGCGTCCCTCCTCGCTATTTCGCTCGTCAATTCTCCCCCACCTCTGGCCTCCACACTTACCCGGCCTCTCAAAATGGCCTTCCTTCTCAACCTCTTCAAGAGCACACCGACCGCGCCGGAACGTGTTCCGACCGACACCGTGATACCGCTTCATGCTCTAGATGACACACAGGTAAACAGGTCAATGGCGATTGACTTCTCCATGCGCTTTGATGACGCGCTGGATGTGGATAAGCTTGTTGGGGCTTTGGAGAAGCTGCTAGATAGGCCCGGGTGGAAGAAACTGGGCGCGAGGGTGAGGTTGAATGTAAGACAGCTCTACAGCTCCAATACTCTCGAGGAAGACGCAGCTAACGATGGCACAGAGCGAAGGCAAGCTCGAATACCACATCCCAGCGCAGTTCACGAAAGACCGACCCGCCGTAAACGTTACCCACGTCAAGCACGATATGCCCATCTCGCAACACCCGCTCGCCTCCCAGATCCCACGCCCCACAGGGACCATTCAAACACTCCTCGACGTTCGCAAATTCCGCCCCCTCTTCGTCTCCGAGCATAGCCCGACCGAACTTAAACACTGGATATACACAGAGCATGCGCAGCTCCATCTACACATCGTGTCCTTCGCAGATGCTACGCTCGTCACGTTGACATGGCTGCACACACTGCTCGACGGAATGGGCCGGAACATGCTGCTCCGGTGCTGGACAGCCATGCTCGAGGGCCGCGAGCAAGACATACCGGAGTTCTACGGCTACGACTTCGACCCGCTGGCACGCCTTGGGGCGCTGACGGACTCCAAGCTCAAGGAAGACGCGGACGTGGAAGAGGAGGAATACATATTGAAAGAAAAGACGGTCTCAGGCTGGAAAATGTTCCGGTTCGTGCTGGGCTACATGTGGGAGCTGCTCGTCTACCGCAAAGAACAAATAGGTGTCGTCGTCCTCCCGTCCTCTATGTTCAAAAGAATTCGCGCCGAAGCGCTATACGACCTCTCCTCCATGCACCCCGCCACCATCGTGATGGATACCTCCGACCCCAGCAACCCCAAGCCCTTCCTCTCCGACGGCGACATCCTCTGCGCCTGGTGGACGCGCCTCATCATCTCGTCCCAGCCCTGGCTGGCGTCCGCCAAACCCACCAAAACAATCCAAATCATGAACGTCTTCGGCATGCGCAACCTGCTCACGGACACGCAGCCGCAGCTCCTGCCCAAGGGCGTCGCGTACATCAGCAACTGCGTCACAGCCATATGCTCCTTCTTCAGCCTCTCCGAATTCCTGTCCCTCCCGCTCGGCCGCGTCGCCGCCCGCATCCGCGCCGACCTCGTCCAACAGTCCACGCGCCCACAAGTCGAAGCCAACATGAGGCTCACCAAAGCTGGCTATGCGAAATCGGGACATGCGCCATTGTACGGCGACGCGGACATGGTGTTCTCAGCTTTCTCTAATTGGACAAAGGGGAAGATGTTTGAGACGGATTTCAGGGCTGCGGTGATCAAGGAGGCGGACGTGGAGCATAGCGTCGGCAGGCCGAGTTATATCCAGGCGGACGGGACGGCGAAGGGGTTTAGCGTGAGGAATAGTGGGCCGTGCATAGGGAAGGACTGGAAGGGGGATTGGTGGGTCGGGGCTAGTTTAAGGCCTGAGGCGTGGAGGAATCTGGCGAGGGCGGTGGAGGGGATGAAGTAAGGCGGCACGGAATAGAGAGAGCAAGGGGGCTTGGGAAGCGCGGTCAAAGATGGAGTTTGAGGCTGTTGACTATGACAGGTCAATTAAGTCCTCAGTAACAAGGGAATGGGCGGTTCTGTCTCCGCCTCTACCAGGAAGGAAGTCGCAATGCGCTGCGCAGAGCAAAACCTTATAGACATAATTCTATTATCAACATACAACCCTCTATATCTTTTTTTCCGTGGACCCCAAAGCCTAGGAAATGAAACGTCCACCCTGCTCATCAGGAGGAACAGCGCGGCGCGAGAAGAAGCGAAATATTAGGAAAGGAAAGGAAAGGAAAGGCGTCTATACCCCAAGGGACCGTAGAGAAGCGAAAAGGAAAAATCATGCTATGCTATGCCATAGATACCAAGCCCAAACCTCCATTCTTTTTTTTTAAGACGCCGTCACTTGCTTCATCATGTACGTTCATCACCTGACCCCAACTACCTCGTTGCCCAGCCTGCCTCCCATGCCGTTGAGAGAGCGGTATGGTATGGTATTGCCAGCCCAGTCAGTGGCGTGGCTTAGACGAACCACATACCCATCTACGCCAACGTTAGTCAATCAGTCCTTCGCGGGCTAGCTAGCTAATTCGAGAAACCAAAAAGGGCAACAGCAACTGAATCAACTCACCATGCCCCTCTTTGTCATCGGCGCTATCTCCATTTCCTCCCCATACGTCGGCGTCGGCGGCGTGTAGTACCCGCTTCCGCTCGTCGTTGTGGTTGTGGCTTCGATGTCGCTGCTCGTGCCCGAGCCCGACGTCACTGTCTCAAGCGTGGTGGGCGTGGAAGAGGATAGGTCGGTTGTGGAGGTTTCGACGCTGAGGGGGGTAGAGATGGAGGTGGAGGAGTCGACGGGGAAGGAGGTGGGAACTGCGTCGGTGTTTGTGGTCCCTGGGGTTGTCGTGCTGGGGAGGGGGATGGAGTAGACGCTGGTGGTGGAGGAGTCGACGGGGAAGGAGGTAGGGACTGCGTCGGTGTTGGTGCCTGTGAAGCTGGTGCTGGTGCTGGTAGTGCTTGGTTCTGGCGAGGAGGAGGGGTTGGTGTATGTGGAGGATTCGGGGTACCCGGTTGTGCTTGAGGAGGAGGTGTCTGGGGACGGGGTGCTGGATGGTTCGGGGGAAGTGGGGGTGGGTGGGAAGGTGGATTCCGAGGGGGTGAGGGAGGAGATGGAAGTTGCGTCTGTGGTGGAAGCTGTCGGGGTGCTGGATGGTTCGGGGGAAGTGGGGGTGGATGGGAAGGTGGATTCTGAGGGGGTGAGGGAGGTGGAAGTTGCGTCTGTGGTGGAAGCTGTCGGGGTGGTGGATGAGGCTTCTGAGGTGAGGCTGCTGAAAGACTCGGAGGTGCTGGGGAAGACGTCCGAGGTTGTTGACTCTTCCGTGGTCGATGGGAAGGACTCCGTCGTGGTGCTACTGGAGAAGTCTGACGTTATGGACGCTTCGCTTGTGAAGGGGATCGATTCAGAAGTACTAGATGAGTATTCTGAGGTCATCGATTCCTTGGTGGTGCTTGGAAAGACATCCGAGGTTGTTGACTCTTGCGTGCTCGACGGGGAGGACTCCGTCGTGGTGCTACTGGAGAAGTTTGACGTTGTAAACGCTTCGCTCGTGAAGGAGAATGATTCAGAGGTGCTGGATGGATACTCGGAGGTCGTGGATTCCTCGGTAGTGCTCGGCAAGAATCCCGACGTTGTGGACTCTTCTGTGGTCGATGGGAACAACTCGGATGTGGTACTAGAAGGATACACCGTACTCGCGGATTCCTCGGTAGTGCTAGGGAAGGATTCAGACGTAGACTCTTCGGTGGTAGATGGGAAGGATTCCGATGTGGTGCTACTGAAGGAGTCGGATGTTGTAGACACTCCACTCGTGATTGAGAACGACAACGACGTCGTGGTTTGTTCCGTTGGACTGGGAGTCGATGCGGTTACAGTGTCTGTTATGATGAATCCAGACGTAGTGGAATCTTCGGTAGTAGATGGGAATAATTCCGACGTCGTACTGAAGACTTCAGAAGTAGAAGACTCAGTAGTAGGGAAGACTTCCGAAGAGGTTGACCCCTCAGTGGGAGAAGGAATAGTCCCAGTCGTGCTGCTGAAGACGTCTGAAGTAGTTGACTCCTCAATTGTGGACGGGAAGAATTCTGAAGTTGTGCTCCAGAAACCTGACGTAGTTTCTGCTCCGGTTATAGTGGTGCTGGACTCCGTAGTACTACTGAAGAACTCGGACGTGGTCGAACTCTCTGTAGGACTGGGCACTGACTCGGTAGTGCTGGAGTACTCCCCGCTCGTAGAAGGCAGCAGCGAAAAAGAGTAGCTAGAAGGGTAAGGAATGGACTCGCTCGACGTGCTGGTGGCTTCTGTGGCAGTGTTGGAGCTTGACGGGGTGCTCGAGAAAATGCTCCAGCTGATGGTCGAAATATTGAAAAAGGATGACGTGGTTGAAGGCACAACGGTGATGTTGCTCGGGCTTGACGGGGTCGCGGTGGTACTGACATTGCTCCAGATTGGCGTAGTTGTGAACGGCGGGACCGTGATCTCACTCGTGATCTCTATAGTAGTCGTAAGGGTCTCGATGTAAGAAGATGGGCTTGTAGAGCTATTACTGGATCCGGTCGTGGATGGTGTGGGAACATAATAGCCGCTTGAGGTCGTACTGTTTAACACCAGTGTTTCTGTGGAGGTCGAAGTCGAAGATAGCGTGGATGCTGTTTCGGTACCGGTTCCTCCCGTGGATGACGACGAGCCCAGAGTCGTACTGTTGGGGAATAGCGGCGTTTCACTTGACCCGGAGTAAGTGGAGGAAGCGCTCGCCGTCAGTGGTACGGAGCCAGAAGAAGAAATGCCGGTAGTTAGAGATACGGGTGTCGATGAGGTCTCAACAGGAAAGCTCGTTGGAACAGCATCCGTGTTTGTGGTACTAAGGGGAGTCGAAGACGGAAAAGAAGTGTTCGCTGTGGATAAGGGCAAACATGTCAGTGTGCCCTTTGAAAAGAAACAAGTAGTGACCAAAGAAGTTGAGCCAGAAGGCTTGACCAAAGATGTTGTGCTATTAGAGACGGGAGACGTCAGGGTGAGAATAATAGTGCTGACAATTGGCACGGTAGTTGACGATCGCGACGGGGCAGTTGCGGTGATGGTGGGAGTTAGTAGGGGCGTAGAGAGAAAGTCATTGGTACCAGTGGAGTATGTAGATAGCGAAGTCTCTCCGCCCTCGGTGGAACTGGAGGATGGGTAATAAGGCGGCGGGCTGTAGTATCTAGGTCGGACATGCTTGGGAAGCCGGTCTGGGTAAACATTAGCCTCGACTCGCAACTGTGTTGATGTGGACGAAATTGAAAGACAGATATCATGAACTGCGCCTGGAAATCTTTTAAAGCGCGGAGGTAAAGGACCACAGCAACTTACATGGCAACGGCTCAGCGCTAGCGATTGCCAACGCAGCTGCCCATAGGATCAAGCTGTTGACTCTCATGATGGACGAGAAAGGGAAAGATATTCCCAACACGAGGCCAAATACCAAACGAATGAGGGGTAAACGAAAGGAAGCCTCGAAAGTGACGTGCCGAGACCGAGTAGATGGGGGTTCGCATGATGTGCTCTTTCGACCTTATATGTGCTCCTCAATGTGTCATTGTACAGTATGATTTAGGTATCAGCGGCAGCAGTGCTTTGCTTGGTTTCTCCGCTGGAACCATACACAAGGGCTGCAAGACGGCTGCTTGCTTGCCACCTCTATGCCGCTGATCCTGTCGTCTTCGGGTCTTTGTGTGCGAATCCCACTATGAAACAAGACCGGAGGCTATTGGAGAGTGCATCGGGCGAGTGCTTACAATTTCCACTCTTTGGTAAGAAGACTGGAGAATAGCGGAGAAGCGTCGCATGAAAAGGGCGGTCGTCAGCTGGGATCGCTGGATCCATCGGTACGAAAACATGGAGTTGCTTCTTGCTCAATTGACGGTGCAACAAGGAAAGGTGTTCCGACGTTGGGCCTGGAGGTGACTGGAAGAAAAAGGTTAGCGGTCACCTCCCAGTGTAGCTCAACAACATCCTCTTCAGTCACCCGTAGCGCCAATGAATACGCGGCCACGAAGGCTAAGTGTGACAGCAATGCCGGCTATTGAAAATGACCAGGCCTGTTCGTCGTTGGGGATCGCGGAAGATACAATGCTCTTGCTCTAGGGAAGGTGATGTTGCGATCTAATCCACTGATGTTGGTCAAGTCCAAGGCAGACTACCGCAGCTCGTTACATTCAAGCAGATCTTGCCTCCCAGGTATGCGGTTGTTGTGATACATCATACCGGAAACCGACTGACAAACGACGCGCTGACAGACGCCCCTTCATCTCACCTTGGAGGTAAGAAGCCTCGTCTATGCGGGATGTAATCGTCGCACGCAAGCACCCGCGGCCAAAAGATCTTGTCTGTTTCAGTTTCAAAAGGCCACCAATCACGCCGACATCTGGACGCATGATCAGTCGTAGAAGATCTAGCCCTCTGCGAACGGCCAATACCCGAAGGGCTCCGTCTCTTGCTGAAGGACTAGAAAGTCGCACAAGCTGCTAATGTTCCACTATCGGGCCGTGACTGCGCGTAGCCCATAGCGTCGCCTCCGACTACCACTGCTCGGAGTGCTACCGAGTGGACGAGGTCGATCAGGCTGAACAGCAACAATGCCATTGCCGCCGGCCATGTGCTACTGCTACCCTCATAGACTCGAAGGGGTTCAACGTGTGCAAGAATTGCACAAATGCAGGAACAACTGAGGTTCGACTTAAAATAGCTCCGGAGCGCACGACAGCTTGATGCAGCGATAGAAAGCGAGAGCGACGGATACTGATAGCACGGAGCGACGGGAATGTACCCAGAAGGATCGAGGGACGCGATTGCGATTACCGACTAGTAGCTGCACCGGCAGGACACCCGACGGGTGGATGGTGGTCGCTAGAGGGGCTTGTGCTTCGTTGATGGGTGATGATGTGATGGGTGGTGCAGGAGTAGAGGACAGGACTAGGCGAAAGAGAAGAAGTCTAACGCTAGTCCCAGTCAAGCACTAGCGGATGCACGTGTCCTACTGGTGTGCTCCCATTATCCTCGCTGCCGCAATCTAAGCAAATGTATACAGCCGGTGGGAGCAATTTTCCGGAGACGATCTGGTCGCGTAATTGGCGGGCAGCTACTGTTCCACGTCGCACTTCTGACCCGCCTTCCGGCAGCCGCCATCGCGAAGGATATCACATCCAAGGAGACACGGTGCCTGACACAAGCGCGGCCTCCTTTATCTTGTGCACGAAGCCAAATGTCCGCGGAAGGCTCGAGGATGCGCACTGTCGGACCGGCATCGATTTTTGAAGTTCTAGAAGTTAGTGCCGATGTGAAAGTGTTGACGATTAGCATGCGGAGCGAAAACGCGTCTTGTACCTAGGTAGGACGGCTGGACTGTTACGTTTTATTTTCGATTATGGATTATCGTACCCAACATCTGCTCTGAGCTGGATGTTTCTGGAGAGGGGATGTCGCCCTCAGGGCGGACTCAAATCGCTACCCTAGGTCAAACTTCTCAGGAACCATGTATGTCTTTTCGTCGGTACGCCGTGAAACTCCGGATATCCCGTGACTCCCGCCAATCGTTACTTCATGACTAAAGCAAGAAAGAATACAACAAGAATATACCCCACCGGTCCGCCGATAGACTGTGCCTCAGGGACGATCGCTCAGAAAACGGAAAGGGTAGGAGGTGAAAAGCCCAGTCCCACGGCCATGGGACAACCGCGCAGATAGAGAGGCGTCTCCAGTAATGGAACGCTGCAACGCCGACCTGAACATCGTGATGCGGGAGTAATGACGAACCATTACAGACTCTTTCAAGAGGTCGCATGAATGGCCATTTTAATAGGCCACTGCTAAGGCTGGGCGTATGGTAGACTACTGACTCCAATTGACGAATGAGTCATCCTCAAATGGCGTGTGGTCACTAGTGGTCTGATTGCCGTCGGCAACCTGATATTGGTCAAAAAAATTGGAGTACTCGAAGCCCGAAGGTGTGAAAAGCGAATGGGGTGAAAAGATGCTTTCTGACATCGCTGAAGGCGGACTGTCGGAGGAAGTACCATCCATGGCAGTGTCCAGCTTAATGGAGTTTTCAGGAGCTAACGTCTGTGTCATGCCTGCAACTGAAGCGCCCATCCGCGACTTTGGAGAAAGGTTGGGATTGTACGAGTATGTGCCCATAAACGGCTGGGGAATGTTGTCGCTGCCAGCCATGAAGATAGCCGTGCGTGGGTCATTGGGATCGAGCGCCGACCCAATGAGCTGCTGTGACTCAGGTGGCAGAGACAGGGACAGAGGGTTCATATCGATAACCTGTGAGCTGGTGCTAAACGGTAGCGAGGCGAACTGATGAGACACCGGGGTGGTGTTCCCTGACCGTACCCGCGGCGTGCCCTGCGCTGAAGTAGGCGCTGAAGATCCGCTAGGGACACCGTGAGTAGAGACAGGCTGCTGCTGCAGACTCTGGGCAGTTGATGATCTCGAGAGCGACGGACGCGATTGGCTCTCATTTCCTTGCTCCAAAGCGTGAGGCGGCAGCGACATCCTCCTGCTGACATCCCCCTGAGCGGTTGTGGGATCCAGATTGCCCTGCGGTATGGAAGGTGTAAAATTCTGCACTGATTGAGGTGTGGGAATCGAGGCCGACCGTTGGTGTGACTGAGGCCGCTGAGGGATGTTGTAGGGGGCGTGTCGATAGCCCTGCTGATTCTGCTGATAGCCCTGGGGACTGAAGGGCTGCGATGGCTGTGCGAAGGTCTGCGCAGGGGGGTTGAAGGTCTGGGGAGGGAGCATTGTCTGGTTCACCATAGGGACCTGACCGTTTGGCGCGAACTGGGCGCCGTAGGGTTGAAACGACTGACCGGGGAACTGCTGGTGTAGAAACATATTCCTGACACCCTGCTGAGTCGCAATGTAGTCATGCAGCTTACGGTTGAATATCCAGGATGAAGTCTGCAGGTGGGCGTTCAGTCGCTGGTACTGGGTCGGGAGGTCGTCGTCCTCCTCTTCGTACATTTCTTCGTTGACAACATCCTGCTCGGTGACGCGCAACGCACGTCCTGTTCGCTTCTTGTGGATCTCAGATGCTCGACGCGCTGATTCTATGCGCGCCTCGAGACTGCGATCACTCCGCCGCGAGGCGGCGATGTATGCTCTGCAAGGGCATCAGCATTTGGTCGACGAGAAGGCAGATGCAGCAAGGCAAGTGCAAGAGAACATACCGCTCCTGATTCTCTTCATGGGTGCGCTCCGTCTTGACGGGCTTCGCATTCGGAAAGGCAGCTCGACGGTCGGCGGGCATGCTGAGATAACCGGGTTGGGGTGTGGTCGGGATGTGGCAAATGCGTGTGGCGGGGGTCCCGTCCGAGCAGGCGCGAGCAGGACGGATCCTTCCCTGCACAACACGACCGACAATTGACGACAAACAACCGACGACGAGCAACACACGACAAGGTTGGGAAAAGCGAGGCGGCAACGACGAGCGAGGAGTGAAGAGCGACGGCGCAGCGAGAGGGGAGCCAGGTGGTCGCCGTTCGCCTGGGGGGAGGTGCAGGCCAGCAGGCCTAATAATGGGCCGAAGAGCGCTGGAGCTAAGAGATGCGGGACTCCAGCAAAGCTGGGCTTCCGGCAAGAATACGGGGGTTTGGCGATCGAGGGAAAATGCGCTGGGGACCGCGAATCTCAAGAACTCGATCGGAGCGGCACGCTGGGCTTCCCGGCCAAGGCCAAGCGCGAGGACTCCGACAATGGACAATGGGTGCTGGCGGAGCTGCGTTCCGCAACTACCCGCAACTGTCTTGTCTAATAACAAGCGGAGCAAGTGGGCCGGCGGGCAGCGTCCAAAGAGAAGAGCTGGACTGGGCAGTGGACTGGGAGAAGAGCTGCTTGAGAGCGAGGGCGGCATTCTTGATAAGGGGCCTGCATGCGCACGGCAGGCGGGCGCGTCCACTCAGTGTGCATTCTTTCTCTCCCGCGCGCCCTAGTAGTGCTCGCCGCCGTCTTCTGGTGCGCGGGTCGGCGAAAACAGTGTGGAGTGCCCAGGCGAGCAGCTGGTGCGATCGCCAAATCGAGGCTAGCCCGCTGCGCAAACCACATATCCGAGGCATGTTTCTCTGTCTCCTGTGCGCCACCGATTCTAGCGCTTCGATCGCCAAAGGCCTGACGCCGAGTGTCTAGGTGCCTCTCCGCGGACGTAGATCCGTCATCATCGAACCTACCTCCTCCGCAAGGCATGCCTCGACGTTGGAGGCGCTGACTAATTGGCAGCCCCAGACTTGACACCTACGACAGCTTGGGAGACGTGGTAGGCCAGTACCGGACCCGGAGACGACCGGTCTAGCTACCACGTATATCCGGCACCAGAGACAAGGGCTATCGGGGAGACGAAGCCACTCAAACAAAGCGGGGAACCTTTCGCAGAATGGCAGAGCGAAAGCGAACACCACAGTAGTAAATCTCTGGCGACGCAGAAAAGGACAGCACTGGTTCCGTCTGGCGATCGAGGCCGCGACCCATCTATTACCAGAGTTCAGCCTCCGGTGTCGACGGTAGCGAACCTTATCGGCCGCATAAGGCTTGAGGGGCGAACGTCTTCATATCCTTGTGATAAAGTAGCATACGGAGGCAGGCTACGGCAAGGTATGCGGGAGCGTCAACGCTCTAGCAAGCGTCGAGCTGGTGTTCGTCCAATCCACGACAGGAGGTAAAAATCTTGGCTACCTCGCGTATCTCAACCCCCTTCGAATGAATCGCGCCGCATCTCAGATCGAGATGGGGGGATCGGATCTGCACATCTTGCTCCACGCGGCCGACAGGCTTTGCCTTGTTAGCATGCATGCGTCCCCATTCGCTTGAGGCTTCAACTCAGGCAGGAGCGCGCAGCAATTGGTAGTGAACTGGCCGAGAACACATGCCGTGCCGAACATGGCATGATTTCACCCTGACATGTCAGGTCATTTCCAAGCGTCAGGAACGTCGCTGCTGCCCCTGTATCTCGGTTGACAACGAGGCTGGTACGCCACCATACGACGCCAAAATGCCCAGGAACGAGATTTGGAATCTATCTTGACTTCGGCACACGCTCGCTAGTCGCCGTAACAAAGCATCTTCACGCCTCTTTTACGCCCCCAAACCCCAACTACGTCACACAAACTGCTCCGTGCGTTTTCACCCGGCGACCGAGCCGTGCGAGCCAGATCGTTGGGTCGGACGTGAGCGGAGTGGAGACCCAGAGGGAAACCGCCCTTCCAGCCTGGCCTGGAAGTCTGGCCTACGTAGCAATCGGGTACGATTTCAGCCTACAGCTCTCCAACGGCGCCCCTCCGCCCACTGACACTGGGCAACGGCGTTCCGTTGGAATGTTCCCCATCTCAACCCTAGGTGGGCCACTGAACTGTAGGCTGTTTAAACACAGACCGCGAAGCTCTCCGTTCTGTGACAACACTTGCGGCCTTCGCCACTGAGCTGGAAGTAGTCATCCGGTTCTCTATCTTGTACGCACTGTGCTTATCGAGCCCAGCAGCTGCGTGTCGGGTTCCTGACATGCAGGGAGCTAATGCTTCACGCTGGCATTGCCACTTGGATTACCCCTTACCTCCCTTGTCTGTGGCACCTTCTGAAAGAGATCAGGACCTCCACGGTATCAATCACATCTTTCCTGCGCTTGGACTCTTCAACACTATCGCTTGCGACGGCGATATCAACGTTGCTAACTTACCCGCCATCTCGGTTCTCAGATTACCGACATCTTACAGGAGGTTGCACAGATCTCAACCACATGTTCCCCGCATCGAATCTCACTCTACGAGCGCAAATCATTGGCCAGTGCGCGAGGTGTTACTCCGCCCTGGATATGCTTTCGCAGAGCTGCACAAGTGGCGTTGTCTCGCGGCTCGGTCCATAGATGCGGGCCAACGACCTCACGAGCTATGAACGAGAGGGTGTGCGGATGGCGTCTCACCGAGAGATATGATCTTACTTCAGATTCACGACTCCGAGAGGAGACCCGCAATCGCATCCCTACCAATGAGCCCAAAGCATTCAACTGGGTTGAAGCTCAGTGACAAGCCCAATGCATTGTCAGCAGATGCAAGGAGTGATACTCCACTTACGATATCGCAACGCACATCCTCCTTACAGCTCTCTAGATTAACCCCTCGCGCCTGCCTTGGCTGTTATTCGGATTTCCTTGGGCCATCGCAGTAGGTTTCAGTTTCTGGGAGGTTGGCCTCTGTTCTCCGTCTTACGTGCTTGGGGTGCTCTTCTCCGCTTGCTTGCTAGTCCAAGGACGGCGACGAAGAATATCGGAACGAGTCAGTAGCAACACATCATCCCTAGGCTCCTTCTTGCGACACCCTAGGCTTCGCAATGCTCGCAGGCACGGCGGATCCTGAGCGGGAGTGAGTGTTCTCCCTTGCGGCTCTGAGCTTCGGGATCACTCTACCGGGACTCCACGAGTTACACAAGATGACGACCCGCGTGTGGCTGTCCTGCATTGGTACTCCCGTGACCAATCCCCCACGTGTTTGACCTCTGTGATTTCCAGGATGCATCACGGTCTCTCATACATAGGACTCTTTAGCCCTCAGCTCTTCGATTCCACATACCAGAACCAGAAAATCTCAGCCAATATACGTTCAGCCCGCCTCGCTCTAACTGAATCCAGCTGAATTTCCACAGTTACTATCGTCTCGAAGAACGTGCATCCAGCTCAGCTCCATGCTAATGTGAGACCGCATACGCATACGCATACGGATGCGCATCTCTATGGCGAAAACTGGTCCTTGGGTCTCCCGTCGCTCCTGCCGCACGAACCAGGAAACATCAGAGCGTGCACCCGAAGAGCAGAAAGCTTGATGAGGACTTCGGCGAGCACTTGACGCAGTACACCCCCCGCCATTGCACGGGCATGCGATCGATCTGTTCTACGTGGTACACCGCTCCCTGTTTCTTTAAAGTCCCTGCGGCGGATCTTGCAAGCGCTTGAGGAGTCGGATGCAAAGAGCTGAGACATCGCGAAGAGGTGTGTGGTGTGGGGGTGTGCTTAACTTCCCCTGGTATTCTTCGCCAACGACTTCACGCTTCCAACGGAATGAATGGGAGAGGAGTCGATCGCCGACAGCACACCACAGTACACTTCTCAGCCGCGAACAGTAATAACTTTGCCAGGTGAAGTCTCCATGTCGCTAACAGCCAAGAGTGCGCTACCACACCGTGCCGTGCTGATCCATCTCCCACCCGAAAGCACCACCTTAGCAACGGACGCCACGCCTCCAACAGCTTTATCGGAACAACCAAGAAGCTACCATCCACCACACCTTAAGAGTGAAACGGGGCGATTCTCTCGCGCTCCCAGGAAAAACCGTCACATGCCGCCCTTTCCTCTTAAGAAACCCGGGCCCCGTCAGCTGGCCACGCCGCCTCTCTTGTACATCCACCCTTCACCACCCACCGTCACCGTCGAGCAATCAATCACCACCCACCTACGCGTCCACGCAGAGTCGGGCACGGCGATAGCCGAGTTGCTTCACCGCTACGAGGATACTCACCGCCCCGCTCATACTCTAAGGATCAAAAAACTTGCTCATGTGAGACAGACGAGTTCGAGCATCTCCGGAAACCCCTCGTCGACTCTACGAGGCATGCGGGCAGCAGTTGATGCACAAGATAAGCCACGGGGAAGAGAGTCTCTATGGAAGGGATTTGTAGGTGTTTCATTTCCATTTCAAAGCCACTTATTCAGCATCTATAGAATACACAGCTTCCAGCTCTTGCTACCTATCCCTCGCGAAGACGTCTCATGCTGCTGAACGAGAAGCCGCAAGACGCCTGTGAACCATGCATTATGCGAGCTTTTCCAAGCTCTGGGTTTGTGCCGCGCCTCGGTCTCATAGAAGGGTGCATCTCCCTCATTGGCCTTCCACATCCCCACAAGCGGCCCCCTCTTCGCATCCGGTCAAACCAACGCCGCAGGAGAATGCAATGCTCATTTCGCCACGGCTGCGCTTAAGACTTGTGTCCGGAAGAAGCCGCCCTTCGTCCGCTCAATGACCTGCTGGTAGACTGACTGCGGTGGATGGTTCATCACCACGGTGCCGGCCTGGTAGTCGATCTTTGCGTCCACGCGCGTGTCCCGGATGAGGTTGACGATCCACTTCTCACCCTCGTCTTGTGAGAGGCCGAGGCGGGTGGACAGGTCCCTTTGCGATGTTAGCTTATCAATTGCGCCACAGTAGCGAGCGATGACTTACTTGATATCAATCCGCTGGTGAATCTTGCAGTAGCTTTCTGAGATAAGATGGCGTGCAGCATCCACAAAGGACTCCGCAGCACCTAACAAGAAGAAGTCATTCTTAAGAATCTCCTCCGTCTCGCCGAGCTTCTTCTGCGCCTCCTCAAAGTCAAAATCGATGTACAATGCCTTGATGAAGTCGGTAACCGGATCACTGTACTCGTAGCCTTCCTGCCTGACTATCCTGACCAAGTCCTTCAGCTGTTTCTGGTACTGATTCGAGTTGCGTCCGCGATTCCGGCCGGTGATGACGGCGGCGGCGAGATATCGCAGGATCCATGGGCAGTGTGTCTGGATGGTATTTATGTAGGCGGGGGAGAAGAACATCTCGGTGAGGATCTCGCGGGCAGGCTCGTGGTTGAAGAGCGGGAAGAGCGACCAGTGGATCAGCCAGGTGCGTTGCTGTAGCTGGGCGAGCGGGTTGTTGAAGAGGCGCGTGTCGATTTGCTCTTTGATCTTGTTGATTTCCTCCATGGCCGAGTCCCAGTTTACCGAGAGGATTTCGCAGGCGAGCTTGCCCCAGGTGGCTTCGCGCTCTTTGTCGTTGTCTGTAGTCTGTCCAGCGTTAGCCCCTTCTCCCACCATGCGAGTACCAGAGTATGTGGCGTACCAGAACGCGGAACCGATAGAGCAGCTCAGCAGCATGCGGATAGACGCCACAGCTATACTGAAACTGGCCAAACTCGTAAAGCTGGTTCACCATCTCCACCGTTACGCCATGCTGCTCCTTCAAATACGCCAAATTCTGCACCTTGTCGCTCCGCAGATTTGTGACCACGTTCTCGTCGTCGAGCAGGCCCGAAATCTTGCTCGTCTCTTCCTCCAGCTGATCTCTTCGCTTGAGCACCTCGTCCCGCTTCTTCTTGTACTCGTCCGGCATCTCGTCCAGGTTGTGGATCTCTTGGTATAGTTGGCCCACGAAGTCGGTCATGTTCGTCGGCTTGAGGAGCTCGAGGAGGAGTTTCTTCTGGTCGAGTGGCTGCTCGGCCTCTTCGTCGGGGGAGAAGTTGAGGAGAGGGTAGATGAGGTGGCGGTCGAGGTGCGGCATGAGCTTCGGGAGGAGGTTGTACTGTTCGGCGATGTCGACGCCGTCGGCTTGTGAGTCCGCCATGCTGGGCAGATGTGTTCTGATCTCTTCCGCGAAGGTTTCTGGCAGGGGCGGGAGGGTGGCGTGGGTTGCGGCGGACGCAAATTCGTTGTGGTGGTGGGGTTGGGCGCGGAGAGTGGACGAAAAATGACTGTGCGTAGCGAGGACCCCTGCACGCTAAACTTTTGGTGTTGAATGGGCCGACCTCGTCGCAGAGCTTGCCCTGACCTCGTCGCGGATAGACGCAGCATTTCTCTTTCTTTTCCATTCTCTGTATTGCATTTCACTTCCGCGTATTCGCAATGCCGCGAATACAATCTCTTCTTCCCTTGTTAAGACCATTGGCTGCTCCAAGGCGAGCCGTCTGCCAGCAGCTCTTCCGCTTCTCGACTGCGACGAGACTGCGCGTCGAACGTATGCCTCTCGAAGCTTCATATATCAAACTTGAAATCATTGACGGCTTCAGAACCATCTGCGCCCACCTCGAGCACTCCGCCTCCCCCGCCTACCCAGAAACCTTCCGCTACCTCCCCTGAAGCGCCATCCACCGCGCAAGAAGCCTCCAAGGCCGCCGACCTTGCCGCAACAGAAGCCGCAACCGATGCCGACAGCGCGCAATCACCCGCCCCGAAACCAAACCTCCCATCAAAGCGCGCCGAACCCTCAAAACCCGAGAACGCCGAACCCGCAGATGATGTCAAGGTCTCTTCCAGACCCGCAGTCTCCACCGAGACGACAACAGCGGAACTGAAAGTGAAAGCCAAAAGCTTCAAGACAGTAGCGAAAGGGAAGAAGGCCAATGGCGTAGATGATGTCAAAGTCGCTTCCACGCGGGCATCCCCAACCGGCACCACAACATCAGAACTGCAATCGAAGGCGAAGAGCTTCAAGACAGTGAAGAAGGCGAAAAAACCCCAGGAACCAAGGAGACTCCAACTTCAGCTTCCTCCGCCAAAGTACCACATCGCACGCTCAGCGAGTAAGAACCTCCCCATATACACGGACTACAAGCGGGGCGGAAATCTTCATTTGACGACGATACGCAAGGTCACGGGCGATATATCGGCGCTGCGGGATGAGCTGAGGGTATTTCTGAACAAGAAGAACGAGGAGGTCAAAATCAACAGCCTGACGCAACATGTTATTGTGAAGGTGAGCCAACGTCCACTAGACCCTTAGGCCATGGAAAGAACATGCTGACGAGAGGATAGGGTCACCATGTACCTGAGGTTACCGAGTTCCTAAAAGCTAGGGGTATGTAAGAGTACGTACGAGAGTGAAGGAAAAGGGGAAAGAGGACGTAGTGTGTATAGGATCCTGTACCATATGTAAAGAGATAGCAAAGGAATTGGCAGCGCACCCGTTGCCAGTTCAAGCACGCATTGGATTAGAGGTCATCCCATTTCTACGTGCGATTACGGTACAACTACCGTTGCCGCACCGCATATGCCCGTCTCTGTAAGTATACCTCCTTATATTGCCTATGTTAAGTCCCAGATCTAAACTTCCGAACTGGAAACCTGGATGATATACCTGCTCAAGTCCCGCTTGCGTGAAACACCGTAAATTCATTTCATCGACACCCTGTCTAGCAAGGAGTTGGGAAGTGAATCCATCGTAGGAAGACCAAGCTAGGATGAAGGGCGCATCGAAAGCCTACTCGGTGCCTACGACCCTGAGCCTCGTCGCCCGTGTGCAGTTCCGTGGAGATGCCCGCAGAACTGACATTTCGCACACTACGCAAGCCGGTCAGATACATCCATGCCAGCCTTTCATTGCAACCTCGCGGAATACTCACGTTCTCGACGTCGCACCAGCCGAACCGGCACTTGTTCTCGCGGCATTGATAGTACCCCGTCCAGCACCCTTCCTGGCACGAGCCCCAGTTCGTGTCACCGACGGTGCCATGGTCGCGAGCCGAAAGCACGGGAGTAGGAGGGCTGCTGCTCTCGCGCTTCAGAGGGAGCGGGCCCTCAGCGTCCTCGTTGGCTTGCATGTCGGTGTCGCCGTGGAGACCCTTGCAGAATTGGCATGTCATGCACTTTTTCATAATGTTAGTCAGATACTGTACAGTACGTTCAAAGCTGACATTTCATTGCGAGCTGGCCGGGTCACTTACCTTTCTTTCTTCGCAGTAGCTGAACCTGCACTTGTTGGTGTGGCACTTGTAGTAGCCCTCCCAGCAGCTGGGCTTGCATGTTTTCGGCTTCACCTTGGACTCGTTGCTGGTTGCGATGTCGTCGCCAGGAGTTAGAGCTGGGGAAGCGTCGAGCTCGGCGGGGATGGCAGATGTGACGGCAAGGGTGGCGAAGAGGAGACAGAGGGATAGGAAGAGCTTCATCGTGATGAGTGGGGTTGCTGTGGAGTGTGTATTTGGAGGGATTGGGGGGATCGAGGTGGAGGAATAAGCCAGGGGGAGGGACAAGAGATATAGCTGTTGCGAGCATTATCAGGCGGTGTGGGAACATGATCCCGCGCTCCTATGATGGATAGCTGTGTGGCGGAATCTCTGGCTGAGCGTTTGCAACAGTCCATGTCGGTGCTCAGGTAGATCGCGGTGAGGGAAGGCACGCTGGGCTATGTCTCGCTCCTTCCTCGGGAGCTTATCTCCTCTGCCTTCACTGCGATAAGCTGGTTAGCTTGCAGGCAAAATCTGCGCGGCCCTAAAAGCTTCGACGTCCTGCCCAGGTGATACCTTCTCCTCCACCTCCGCGTCTGTCTCCGACACCAGCTCCTTCCTTCCACGGACAAGTCATGACGGCATCCACCGCGGTCGTGGGCGTTTGTGACGCTTCCGGCAAACAGCCTTTCCGCTTTCTGGACCTCCCGCGCGAACTGAGGGACCGAATCTATGAGTTTGCTCTCTACTATGGCACTATCCGGATATCGGGAGGAACGGGCAAACCAGGCACCTACAAAGTTGATCGCGGCAACAAGCGACATGTTAGACCGCGAATCGTTCTGACATGCCGGCAAATTTATCAAGAAGCAACGCGAGTCTTCTATGGAATAAATACGTTCGACTTCGAAGACGTACCTGCAGCATTCAATTTCCTCCGCGATAGGCCTGAGGATGCCGTTAGGAGCATCCGATACCTCCAACTTTCCTATCGCCACAATAACGACTCCGATCAAGGCCAATTCAATGCTCTTTGCGCATTGCTGCAATGGCGATGTCCGCTTCGAGAATTGAAACTAACAATTCACACGGCAGATGTGCGCAAAATCCTTCAAGACGAGTCCAACCTAGAGAAAACGCAGTACCAACCAATCCCCGCCTGGGTAAACCAAGTACTGCAAGTCAAGAATTTGCATCGACTTCATGTCCACTGGAACTTCGGGTCGAGGAAGTACATCCGCACAGCACTCGCCGCCGCCAGATTGATGCGGTCAAGTATGTTGCAGACCGATATGGCGTTCTCCGATGCGCAGGGCATCCAGGTTCGTCTACGCCACGTAGCCAGGGTCGGTCGGCAGCAGATCCGATGGGGTGAACTGAACATGATGATTACCAAAGATGGCGAATCGGAGCTTGAACGAAAGAGGAGGGTGAGGGTATTGCCGCATTCCTGGTGCAATGAGTGTGGTGCGTTCGAGGGAACTCTATTGTGCGACTGCATCCACCAGGTTTCAACAGCTTGCTTGAAAAGCTTTGAGAGCAAGTGCCGTTCCTGTCACCGCTGTGGTCGGCCTGGCACCATGTATCGTGGAGAGCAACACCAGCTGCCCGCTATTTTGAAGCTCGACCCCGACGACACGAGTACCACGCCTGTTGGGGAAGACGTATGGGACAGTAGGAGGTGGGGCGGCAAGGCGCTCAAGGACTATCTCCCAAACTATGTGACCGAGGACGACTTTCACAAGGCTAAAGAGCTGGCGAATGTAGGGGTTACGCTTGTGCCCCCGATCGCAGGAGATTACGCCAACAGCGACTTCGGCGATACTGACAGCCTGCTAAGTGTCCACGGCTGGAGCGATGACGAGGACGGCGAGTAACGTCTCGGACGGCGCGGCAGTCTACCGCGAGTGAGACGCCAGCCGTTTTTTCCACATTCGCATACGAAATAGCGGTGTTCCAATGCGGAGAAGGACCTAAGGCGGGTTCGGCGGTCATTGGCTGGCTTGTGTCTCTCTCTATGCGTTCCTTGCGCGGCAGCAATCTTTGATTTTGCATTTTCGCCATGGCTTCCTCAGCGGCAACAGTTCCGAGAATACGGCTTGAAAGGGGTATGGCACTCACAACGCAAGGCCCACAGACTTCAAGTCAATCCCAAAAGTTTTTACCACCAAATTTGCTTAACTAGTAGCATTCAATGACAAGCTTTCTCTTATATCTGCTTTCTCTTATATCTGCTTTCTCTTATATCTGCTTTCTCTTATATCTGCTTTCTCTTATATCTGCTTTCTCTTATATCT